TGAGTGGACTTGCCGATGACTGGTACCAGCGGTGTCAAGATCGGCCTCAGTGGAGGAGGCTCGTGAAGGACGCTACTGGGCAGTTGGAGGCAGTCGCCCTCCAACAGCAACAGAGGGCGGAGGAGCGACGCTCACAACAACGAGCGGAGCGCCGGGTGACTAAAGCACAGCAAGTTGGCACAGTAGGGGGCGCAGGTGGTGCATCAGCCAGTCATCTCAGTCAGTCGACCCGTGGCACCTGCTGGGTCTGCCCCGTGACCTCCTGCCAGCGGGCGTTCGACACTTCACGTGGCCTCAAGGTGCACATAGCCTGGCACAAGCGTCGTGGTGACGTCACCGCCACTTAGTGGCGAATGGCGGTTGTTGTGTGTACACAAGGGTGTGTGTGTACACAAGTGTGTGTGTGTGTACACAAGTGTGTGTGTGTACACAAGTGTGTTTGTGTGTACACAAATATGGAAGCACATGCAAAAAGGGGCACACTCCGTCAGCGATGATGCCGACTGGGGGCTGGTGGTTGACCCGTGGCTGGTGTCAATTGTTTCTGCCTGCAGACAAACCGCACGTTGTTGTTGTAGAAGCTTCCCTGTGTTGGTCATTTAAAGCGGCTGTAAGAGGAAAAACGCAGCAGCATACCGATTCGTGGGAAGAAGACTGTTTTGAATAAGTAAAGATTACCTGTGTTGACATTCTGGTTGTGGCCATGGAAGAGGGACAGAGAACATTTAACAAAAGCTAAAATGTGTGCTCAAGAAAGGAGAGAGGCATATTTGAATTACATTGCGAGATCGAAACGCATAGATTGGAGAGAACATATACGCAAGTTATATAGACATCCAGTTGAGTGTGAAGGAAAGTGGGCTTGGCCAGGACAAGTCACAATAAGGGGCACCACGGTGGCTATGAGTTGTTAACTACCTCGCCTGGTATACAGGAGGTCGTGGGTTCGATCCCAACCCTGACGCCTGCTGTATATTTGCATGTTTCTCTCAGCATGGTCGTGTGGATTTTTCTCCGGGTCCTCCGGTTTTTCCCCTCCACATGTAGGATCAACATGCATCTCCCCGCTTTTGGTTCTAGCCTTCTTCAAATGCTCACATTTATTGCCGCCACTGTTATACTTTTGGTCAGCCAAGTCACGCTCGTGTATAGCTTGGGTCGAGTCTAGTGAGAGCAATGAATATCAAAACTGAGGCGATCTCAGAGGGTTGTTTCGTCTCTCATTTTTAGACAAGCTCCCCCTGTCTGCTTTCACACCATATAGCGTATATATGTACCACACGATGTGCTTACACTATACCCCTGGAAGACCCCTTTGTCCCCACACTCACAACTGAGGCTACGGGTTCCCGAACACACACACCCTTGAGGCACGTTTAGCCTTAGCTGGCGGTCACCACCCAGCGTCAGGGGCAGGTGGCTTCTGAAAGAGCAATATTGCTCAGAGGGCCTTAAATGGTACAATACATAGATTAGTTTAGAAGGGGTGAATGCCAGTGATCGAGGTTAATAACGGAATTGAAGCAGCACACATTCCCGAAAGGACTTCCACCAAAAGGATGGAGCCATGAAATGAATGGATTTGTTTACATCGAGGTCATAGATGGATTGTAACATCGCAGGGCCGTGAGAGACGCCGGCGGCTTGGGAATGCCTCCAGCACGTGCAGCGAAACGTCGGACGTCGCGCCGAACAGCACGGAGCGGTACGGCCCCAAAACACGGCAGAGATCAATTCTGGATATACTTTTAATTTTAGGCACGTTCCATATATGAAGAGTTAATTTATACGGAACAAAATAAGTCGACAATGTGCCTCCTTCTCATATATGTCTCTCCACATAAAAAAAAATTATCACATTGTGTTATTTACTTGCAATCGATTTGCAATTCGGGAAATGCAAATTGATTGGAAGTGTTTCTGCTACAGTGTGCGCCATTGCTGCTTAACATGAACCAGCCCCACTCTTGCAGAGCACGGGGACATCAGTTCGCGTAAACAAATTACATTTCACATCGCACGACTCCTGAGGTGAGATTTAGCAACAACAAAAACTATTTTCAATTCAACTTCCTTTCCCAGAATTGTTTCGCTGGGAAATTACATAACGTGTGCTCCTGATATCTTGGAAATTAATGTGTCATTGTGGTGTACAAATAAAAGCCACCACCACCATTGCACAAGCCTCAGAACAGTTGTCTATGCTGCTTACAATGACATATAGGCAAAGAGTGAAGCAGAAGTTCATGTGTAGTTTGTATTGCCGAGGAGCTAGAGGCAGGGCTTGATTTCTTACCGAAAGTTGTTCCAGGTTGATTTAGAATGGGAGGTGAAACATAATTAGTAGCCACAGCCAGAGCTTGAAGTATACTCGGTGTGGTATGACGGGTGCACAAGTAATTTCTGGATCACCGCCCAGACAGATCTGGCTGATATATATGAAGACACATTTGTTATTAATGGGCCATTTAAATGTGAGAGTTTCACTTATGAGTTCAAATCCCACCTTGGTTAAAATCACTGGTTGCCATTGTCGGTCTAATCACATCATGTGGACAACAATGTATCTCATCCAGAAGAGGGGATATCTAAATTCAAGTATCTTGAGTGGTGGATTACTGCACACAACTTGACGAAAACCACGACTAAATAAACTACTGGACATCTGTAAAAAAATAGCTTCATAGATCATCAGATGTATCGAGTATAAATAAAGATACGTATTATTGATTTATTTAAGTAAATGTTTTTTTTCCACGATTAACTTTCCAGACCAATTTTTGAAAGTATTCAAGCAAACAAACTCTGGACCATGTTTAACCCTCTGGGTCTTATCAGCAGAGTCAGTAAACCGTACACGTGGTATTATAATGGGTGACAGGTGTGGGTTGTCCAACCGTGTTACAGAAAACCCAGAACATGGCATGGGAAGAATACCTCAACACCAGAGGGAGAGAGAGAACGACACAATTGCATTGTTTAAGTCAAAAAATTGCCTCGAGTCGTCTAGTTATTACTCAACTGACAAAAAAAACTGGGACTTTTAAAGTGCCACGGAGACTTACAGACTTCCCAGGACTCCGACTTAAAGCAAGGACGATGCTGGGCGAAACCAGGACAGGGTGATAAACTGTACTCCCAACTCTACCCCCGAACCCGACACCGCTGTGAAGGTGTGCCTCGTTCCCCCCCCCGCCCCCAAGGCGCCGCCGGGTTGACACCCATGGACATACACACCCCTCGTGGTTTTGTACCGAGGCTCCCACTCCCACACAACGGGCATGGCAGCCACACCCAGACGCACGCGTTATATAACAACGCCCCGAATCGGTGCCAATATTTTCAAATGTATGGGCGGGTCACAGTGGCTGAGCCGTTCGCTGGCAGTTCGCACGCCTAATGGAAAACTACAGCGACTCGACAGAAGAGATTACAGCGAGGAAGCGTGGCACGGGGCGGATAGCGCGGGCAAATGACACTTTTTTTTTTACCAATTTGATGCTTCGCTGTCGATCCTTTTATGATAACTTCATTGGAAATTGCATTGGGGCGCATTTCATTTACATATTAGAGCCAGTCACCCAATATCTGTGTAATGTTTATGTAAGTTAATTGTGTAAGTCTACCAAAGCACATACTCTTTGGTTATTTCGATAAAGTCACGTAGGTATAAAATAAAATAAATTAAATCACGACGTTTCGATTGCAACACAAGCAATCATCAGCACAAAAGAACAGCCTGAAAATAATATGCCCGATCCTACTTGTGCTACAGGGAACTCATAATTTGTGCATAATTTAACACTGACAGTTATTCTTGCAATATCAATGTTCACATGCGATGGTGTTGTTTTTGCTCCGATTTCTATCTGTTTCATTACTGTATTTTATGTTTTGCTTTTGTCATTTCCTGACCCAGGTCACTTGCAAAGGATACTCATCCTGGTCTCTCGAGTTCTCTGCTGGTCACACAAAAACAAACTTGAATCTTGAACTTGAGGAGTGCTGAACCTTTCCTTGAGGCCAGAGCAGGGCTTTCAAATACTGTATATTTTTACATATTGGCACACTAATACACACAATATACACAAGATAAAGGTGCAGCCCTGCAATTGCTTCCTCACACAAATGCTGGCAGAAGGGCTTTCACACCGCTAAAGGACGCTCTCAAGAGCCCGTCAATCTAGAGGATATTTGGTCTCCTCTTCCATGCAGGCCAGATGTCTTTGAAGAGGTGGGATTCCCCACTCTTTATCCCACCACACACGACCAGTCGATTAACTGTGGTGAGCCCATTTATACTGCTGCTCGGTGGACAGCGGTGGCGGAAGATTCGAGAACGTTGCACATTTTTCAACTTCCACGCCAGAAGATGGGAATCAAACTGGCGACCTCTGGATTGCAAGTTCAGTGTGCTGACCATTACACCGCGGCAGCGATGATCATTTACCGAAAGTATTAGAATTCGTTTAAATCTCTCCTGAGTTGGCACGGCCATGGAAATAAAGAATGCATGTGGAGATGCGACCAGTAGAGGGCAGGAGAAGTCGAGGGAGACCAAGGGCGAGATGGGAGGATGTGATGTGGGGAGATGTACAAAGAGTGGATGTGACTCGAGAATGTCCACAGAATGGAAGCACGTGGAGAGAAAAAGTCCAAGCAGTTGACTCCACACAGTAATGGGACACGTGACTTTGTAAGTGCATGGGTCTCAATGCAAGTCTCTGGACAACGCAAGTGCATGCTAGTGTAATGACAGGGTGACACCTGCCGCCCTGTAGGGGTAATTACGGTTATGGCTGCATTACATAATGCCTTATTATAAGGGGTGGGGGGGCGTATCTGGGGTAAAGGTGAAGCGCGGAGTCAGTCGAGAAGCTCCGGGAACCAGCGTGAAGGTTCTGGAAAGGGGGCGTGGCCCCGGGCAGATATAATGGGGACCGAACGAGAGGTTCGGGGCTGTTCTGCGGTATCTGGGTCCTGGCTACGTCGCTGCTCGTCGTCATCTCTTTGTCTTCAACCACGTGGCTGTTCTTCTGCAAGACCATCTCTGTCACCGCCACTACGCTAGTCGAACAGCTTAGCGCAGTGCATGACGGAGATGGGCTGAGTGCTATGTGTAGCTGCGTTATGAAGTGTATCGCCTCATGTGCTCTTAATAAATAAGAAGCCTCGGCGTGTCTCGCAAGTGGCTCACTACACTAGTATAAGGGCCTGTATGTAAGTCTATGGATCTCGAAGTAAGAACAGTGGACGCGACTAGAGAAAAGGCACAGAATGAAAGCACACGGAGAGATAGAAAAAAAACCCCAAGCAGTTGACCCCACGCAATTCCGAGTAGTCTTGGCTCAGAAAAAAGAAATTGACACAGGCCACCCTGGCCCCGACGGTGGGGGTCGTGGGTATCGGGTGAACACCTCTGATGCACTCGAGCGACATTGAAGAGGGGCTTGCTTGTTTTTGTCGGTAATTAGTTGGGGCGCTGTGATGTCACGGGGTTCTGCAACATCGTGTGCAGGGAAATGGACACCGCCGGGCGTGCGTGGCACACCGAGTAACCACGCACAGGGGACTTGTGCAACAACAAGGTGTGAATCAAAACACGAGCCCTGTTCACATTCCTGCTATTTAAAAAAAAAACCCACACAAACAGCCGTTGATTCAGATAAATATAAAACTCCGCCATGAGTGATGCAGGCACAAGCGCTGTAAGGTTACCAGTGTGAGCAGATCCAGGTCTCTTGGCTTCAGTTCGCGGACGAGGGCCTCCCCACCCACACCAAGGCGGTCAGTGCGGGTTTGTGAGAGCGTAGCAGTACCTGACAATGTCTTGATGGAGGTTTTACAAAGATGTATTTCGCTGCACTGCCCTCTCCTACCCACAACGTAGCCCAGCAATCATCCAGCTTCGGATATCTCGGATGTTTGGTGAATACCGGTAACATTGCATTACTCTGATAGTGCATTGTCTTTGAGCTGTACGCCTTTTGGCGTCCTCTGGTCTAGCACTAATTGAGACGAGGCTCAAAAGAAAGCCGTCTCTGTTGTGGACCAATCAGTTTCAAGGACTTTTTTCAAAATTTCTTATGTGGTTTTCAAACCTGATGATGATTGCTTGTGTTGCAATCGAAACGTCGTGAGAATTGTATTGTTTAATTTGGATTATTTTATTATTTCCCTTCTACGTGACTCTACCGAAAGAACCAAGAATAAGTGTGTTTTTGTTTGCATTTTGACCACAAGTATTGTGGTTAATGCAGACATGATTCCTTGTAAAAAGGTTTCAATTTTGTTGCCAGAAAAAGGGGAAAACCCTATTATTATTATAACATTGTGTGTGTTTTTGTCAGCTATGGGAGGCACCGAAGAACCCGGAGGAAAGCCACACAAAGCAAGAGCCGATCATTTAAAATTCAAATAAAAAGGTGGAGAACTCAGACGCGTCATGCTGTAAGGCTGTCAGGCACGGGTGTTATCACTGTGCAACCCTGCCGGTCAGATATGATGTAAACAGTCATTAGGCATATATTCACCCTCCGAGTGGATGAATATCGACAACTAAAGAATACATTATTGATCTCTTTTACCGCCTCGTTAGTATTGTTTCCTCACGTATTACGTCTAAGTTGTCCAGTTTGTTTCCCCCGTTGGGAGCACGTAACCATTCTCATACCATTCGCATACACTTCATGGAGATCGTAAAAATAATCGACTCACACGCCCACAATTCGACGTCTGTTTGTGAGCTTCAGGATACATTTGCATCGATGCCAGTATGCATCATTACACGCACCACAGTCACGAATATATTGGCACATTAATGCATCTGGGTCATCGTCCTCATCATCACCGCCTCTTTGTTTCTCTCGCTTTCATCGTGAGCTGCTGCTGCTCTCTCAGCAACGCTTCACCAGAGCGTGCGCGTGTGTGTCTGCGTCCACGTGCGTGTGTGTGTCTGCGCCCACGTGCGTGTGTGTGTCTGCGTCCACGTGCGCGTGTGTGTCTGCGCCCACGTGCGTGTGTGTCTGCGTCCACGTGCGCGTGTGTGTCTGCGTCCACGTGCGCGCGTGTGTCTGCGCCCACGTGCGCGCGTGTGTCTGCGTCCACGTGCGCGTGTGTCTGCGTCCACGTGCGCGTGTGTCTGCGTCCACGTGCGCGTGTGTGTCTGCGCCCACGTGCGCGTGTGTGTCTGCGCCCACGTGCGCGTGTGTCTGCGCCCACGTGCGCGTGTGTCTGCGCCCACGTGCGCGTATGTCTGCGCCCACGTGCGCGTGTGTGTCTGCGTCCACGTGCGCGCGTGTGTCTGCGCCCACGTGCGCGCGTGTGTCTGCGCCCACGTGCGCGCGTGTGTCTGCGCCCACGTGCGTGTGTGTGTCTGCGCGAGTGGTTCCACCACTCGCGCAGACGCACACCACATTAGAGGCACCCACGGCGGTCTCTTTCACCTCGGACGACAGGACGTGGCATGTACACGCTCCATGTCCACCGTCCACCAGCGGGCGCCATGCGGTTGGCATGGGCCCCGGTTAAAGGAATTAAATGGGGGAAGGGGTCCCCTGTCCAATGCGCCCCCACCTCGTCGTGGCTTGGCGCCTTGGTGCAAGTTGCACGACCTGAAACACTCAATGGCTACGCCACCGCGGTCCATCCTGATGCTCACGTGCTCCAAATTCCTTCTCATTCCGCGGTCTATTTCACAATTATCACTTTTTTGTGGTTTTGAGGTGTGCCCATGTACAGCGCATGTGTCAAATCACTGCTGGATGAGTGCCTCCACACATCCTGCGGGTCGTGGGGGGGTTACCTGACTATGCTTCACCACGCTAGTGAATCCAGGTTGTTGGTGAAGGGGGGCAGCATAGACTTTGGAGCATCGGAGTACGGAACAACAATGGATTTTGCTCTACGACCCACCGCATAGCCCAGGCAGTGACCAAGCTAAAGGGACACAGCATCGTGGTCGCATCCACAGCAACGCCCTGAGGCATTTGGCTACATCACTAGTATAAGGAGGCTTTGAGAAGGCCCTGGATTTTCGATTTCTTCACCTCTGATCAATCACTACTTTAAAACTGTTTTAATACAAGTTGTCAAACTGTGTTATAATCCAAGTTGTAAAACTGTGGCCGCATCTGGGGGACAGGGGAAGTTCCCAGTTGCTACCCGACTCTGCCTGGCACAATCCAACCGAGAGCAGTTCACTCTTACAACGTGATTCAGTTTCTGTTCCACCACTGCGTTATTGCCATCATCCTTCCATCAAAGCCAAGTATACTCCTTCTACCAGATTCACTGTTTCCTCTCACCCACGGCCCACGTTTAAGCCTCCATGTCACAGGACAATTAAACATGTATTTTTTTCCTTTCCTCCCATTGTGTGACTTCTCTGTAACTCCCTCCCAAGTTCCTATGTTACATCCCATGTACATGTACTCGAGTTATAACCTGGTTCAACAAATACACTTTACTTTATCCCTTTTGCCAGTCAACTCCTGGAAGAGAGGCTTTTCATGCCACGTGAATCGTGCTGCGCAGTGTGGGTTGGTTGAGGCGGCAGAGATGTGGGAGCACAGCATCCATTTTTGGACGGGCACCGATCCAAGCATTTTTCCAGGCCAGTTACCTGCTTAGCTTCCGAGATCTGATGACATTGGATGCATTCCAGGTGACTTGGCCGGACAGCGCCTGTAACCTCGCTCAATTCAAGACGTATTTTGTTATTGCCAGTCCAATCATTGATGTAAAAAAAAAATGTTAATTTCTCCACGCAAACTTTTTTTCAAATCCATCAACTCATGAGATAGTTCCAAACACATATTTGAACGTGCAGCATCAATAACGCATACCGAGTTGTAATGTGGCTGTCAGTTCTCTTTCTCTTGCTGCTCAATCTTATTTTGAAAATAGAGCACTGTTGCTGCCAAGGCAGCCACTCCGAGGCTCCAGACACCTTGCCTGCTCGGCAAACAAGTGACTTGGTGGAATCTGCTCCTTTGTAGCCACGATGGGAAAACACATTTTGTTTTTAAAGCAGATGAAAATACGAGGCGTGTTTTCATTTGCTGTACAAAATAGCATTTATTATAATTCATTCGTATCTGCTCTGTTACCCCATCACTCATAGAGGGCAGAATTATGATCTTAAATGCTTATCCAGTGACCTTGATAAAGTGGCACATTATGACCCTGCGACTTTTACAGTGTCCTGTAAGAAGTGGGGGGCAGCAGTTGAGGTCACAATGGCAAGTTCAAATTGATTAATGTAGCCACTTTTCATTGCTTCACTCCTTCACATCGTGGCCCAGTCTGACCTCTCCGATAAAAGTAAAATAGGTGCGGCCATAGGCCATCCCTGAAATGTCCCCTGGGGGATTGAGCACTGAGACGTTGCGAGTACAGACGGCGTGGATTTAATGGCACAAAAAGGGCAGTGCAGATTTGTCCGGACAAGATTCTGGGTTTGGCCACCAAATGAATGCTCTGTGATTGAGCAATGTGTTGCTTAGTGTGTTATCAAATTAAGGAAACATTTGTTACGTAATGTTTATTTCAACATTGCGGTTGCCGATTGGAAAAGAGGGCACGTTTCACGTGTGGGTTTAGTTGATCTCCCGGTTAAATAAAGGATACAGACAAATTTCACAAGGGAAGCAACAACATCGCTCACGGATTGGGGCACATCCATTGGCTAGAGCAGACATCGGTAACCACCAAAGGTGGCATTGCAATTTTTTTTAAATTTATAACCCACTCATATCGTATGAGTAACCACATAACTTACTGGTGTTGGCCACACAGCGGCATCACCAAATAAAATATTACTCAAGTAATAAAGTAATAAAGTTGCCAAACTTCAAAAAAGGAACGAGGCAGTCCTTGTAAAGTCACCAGCAATATCACCATCCAATTTCACTAGTTACTGGTATTCATCATCATCATCAGTCATGGTCAATCCACCGCTGGATGATAGGCCTCCCCAATCCACCAAGAACATCTGCCGTAGTAATAGGTTTTAACCCTTTCAACTGGTACAAAAACTGATACCTTTATACAAGGGATCATGTTTGCAATAACCACAACACAAGCAGTCAAAATGCAAACAAAAAGAAACAACTCTGATAATGATGATATGCACTATCCTTGAAGTTGATTGGTCCACACCCGAGACAGCTTTTCTTATAGCCTAGTCTCCATTGGTGTTGGAACAGATGACACCAAAAGGCGTACAACTCAAAAACAGTGCACTATCAGAGTATTGAGAGCTCGGGGTAAGCATTTACACTAACATCTGCCGTGCTCATTCCATTGCTCCATCTCCCCGACGAATGCGCTCTCGGATGCGTCCAATTAATTGGCTAGAACTTGGTGATAATGTATTATTGTTGTTGCACGGCTCGTGAATGTAGCGAGCAAACTGACACAGGTTACTTAATGCGTACCTCGGAATCGCTCCGGCTAAACCTGCACCGGCGGCTAATCACTGTCGCAGAGGAGACGCTCGTGGTTGACACAACCTCGTCTCTCGCTGTGGAAACCCAACGAAGTCGCTCGATCCAGCGACGAAACCAACGAGTTGGCCCAACGACGAGTTTCAGTCGAGGACAAATCCGCCTCGGGCCCCCAGACCCCGCCTCTCTCCACAAATAAACACACCGCCGTGTGACTGATGCGATGTGTACAAACACAACATTGCCCGCCTGTTGAGTGTTTCTATTCCCGCACAGACCGCGCAGGAGGAGAACGCGGCGACGAGCGTGCGGACGAGGGAAGGCCGCCATCTGGTGGACGAGGCAGCCATCTTGTGGAGCCCGTCGTCTCGTCACCATCCAGCAGTGGCAAGCCTGGCTGCCTGCCTGGCTGCCTGCCTGGCTGTCTGCCTGCCGGGTTGACTGCCTGCCTTACTGGCTGCCTGCCGGGTTGACTGCCTGGCTGCCTGGCTGGTTAGCTTCCTGCCTGCCTGGCTTCCTGACTGCCTGCCTGGCTGGCTTCCTGCCTGGTTGGCTTCCTGGATGCCTGCTTGACTGGATGCCTGCTTGACTGGCTGCCTGCTTGACTGCCTGCCTGCCTGGCTGCCTGCCTGCCTGACTGGCCGCCTGCCTGACTGGATGCCTGCTTGACTGACTGCCTGCTTGACTGACTGCCTGCTTGACTGCCTGCCTGCCTGGCTGGCTGCCGATAAGACACTGAATGTCGAAACCAGCCCAGCTTGTGTTTGTGTTAAACCAATGCTGCCGAAAAGATGCACTCTCCAGCGTGGCGTGATGTTAACAGCAGCCGACACCTGCATGGAGCCAGTAAGCGTGGAACGTTGGGCCAACGTTCCATGATTATTGGGGATCCGGTTCAGATTAAAATTATCATTTTTCATTTCAGCTCACGGAGTAAAAACCGTACAAAAGAGACAGAAAAAGTTTAAAATGACGATGAGATGGGACAAGTTTGTTGATAATTAAGTCGATCAATCCAGTCCATACCCAACATGGTGACACTTCATTGAATTTCTGGTGGAGTGAATCATTATAAGCCTGGCCCCTCGAGTCCTAGCCACTGTACTCTTGGGTCTTTCGGTCACGTAAATAAAAAATAATCGATCACGACGTTTCGATCGCAGCACAAGCAATCGCCACGGCTCAGTGACTTCAGATTTTGAAATTGGCCATCAAAAAAATCATATAAGTTGTTTAACATTGTGTTTATTTTAAATTAACCTAAACACGATACATGAAGGCATGATCAACAAAGAAACAAGTTTACAATATAACACAAGAGTTTAAAACAAGACATTTTCCTGCACCAGGGATGGGGAACATTTTCCTTTACCGAGGGCCCAAACAGGACACTCTAGCGCCCTGTGGCAGGCCACACAGTCTAGCACAGACACACACACACCTTCGTGTCATACAATGATGCAACAAAACAACCAGGGCTCACCTTTACTGCGGTGTGAGAGGTGACCGGGCAGACGGAAATGATATACAGTTTTACGAATATATTCCCCTCTAGGACCCGATTAGAGCGGCTAAAATGCTCGCCGTGACAGATAAATATCGTTTGCTGTGCTGGTTTGAAGCGTCGGGCCTCATGTGGGCACAGGACCGAAGTCATGAAGTCGTGGGCCGTATCTATTCCATGTGCCGTATCTACCCCACGTGCATTAACTATCTCACGGGCCCGTAACTAACCCACGGGCCATATCCAACTAGCCCACGTGCCATATGTTCTCCACTCCTTATCTAAAGGGAAGGACACTCGGCGACACGACCACTGCACAAGGCGCATGATGTCGCCCCATCCGTCGTTCCACCTACGGGCGAGGCCAGCGATTAAGCGGCGCCCGCGACATGATGGCAGAGATATCGCAGACTGCAGCAGCATTACCACTAGGAACGTGCGCATGCCCCCCTCCGTTTTATCTCGACCGCTCGGAACCCCTTGACAAATCTCGTTCGCTTCAATCCCAAGGCAGGAGCCCCAATGGCCTCTTGCAATCCATTTCCGTGCAGCGTGGAATGTCCCATGTTGCGGGTCGCTCATAGGCAAATGACCAGCAGCCACAGCCATGGCGAGCGTTTATTTGAGATCCTTGGTTCTAATCAAGGCATCCGCGGGCGAGTTAACCGGGTTCTCAAGTGCAGTGAGTTCGTGGTATCAAGACAGTCACCAATGACCTACACAACAACACATTAAATTTGGTTTCACACTTAATTAGTTTGAATACCAGCTCTGAGAATTAAAATATCGGTTTGTCATGCGGTGAACATTACTCCCATATGCAAAGCGTTTGGGAAAAAGTGCTACCCCCTGCTGTGACGACGGCAGGTCACTTGGGAGAGATCCCAGAGGTAGCTCTGTAACATCTGCTTCCGTGGGCCTTTCCCTCACACGGAGGACCGTATTGCTCTGCTCGAGTTCCGAATGGGATACCTCGTCCCGCGACGCAATGCCGATAGCGCGATCGGGATAAAATTGCGAAAGAAAAAAAATAGATAATGCCGCGAATAATGAAAGCACTTGTGATTATTTATTACAGCAGGTGGCAGACTCCGGACTTTCTCCCCACGTCGCCGTTCACTCCATCACCGCGACCGCCCTCGGTGTCGCCGTCATTGTTGACCTCCTCGAAGAGGCCCATCTCGATCATCTCCTCCTGCCACGCGAGGGGCACGGGGCCCGTGGCAAAGCGCGCGTAGAAGCCGCGGTCTTTGTGATCTAGCTCCACGCCCTTGGTCTCCGAGAAGTCCTGGATGTCGCCCACGTCCTTGGCGTAGACGATGCCAGGGTCTGGCACGAAGGGCGGGTCACCGAGCCCAGCCTCCAGCCGCTGGAAGTTGACGGTGCGGAAGAAGTCGTGACGCCGGGGATCGTCATCGGGGCCTCTGTGAAATCATCGTTTCTCGTTATAGCTAGATGTCTGAGCTGTCCCACGCGAGTTTGAGACTACGTTGTTTATTGATATTTAAAAAATACTTTAAAATCACGGTCTAGGGCCTTGGGAGTTACCAGAGTCTGCACAGCAGCGTCTCGATATGCGGTTGCATTCAGGCGTTATGTAAATCCAAATTGTATTGTGTTATAATTATTAATCCGACAATCTGCGTTAGACAACAATGGAGATTCATCTTCTTGGTTCTTTCGGTAAAGTCACGGCTGCTTGCGTTGTGGCCGAAACGTCGTGAGAATTATTTTATTATGTTTTATTTGTATTATTTTATTATTTACTTCTACGTGACTTTTCCGAAAGAACCAAGAAGATGAATCCCTGCAGTCACGAAAGCTTTAAATCGAAACAATGGAGATATCACCTCCTCTTCCCTTGAAGGCAAGGGCAAGGGAGGGATAGTGTCTCTTCTCTCTGGTTCTCTCGGGATGCTAGAGGGAGGGGTAGTTTAGAGGGCTGTACAGAAAATGCTCGTGAAATTCCACAGGGAACGATTGTAGTTGGATATGAAATGCCATTAAAAAAAAAAATAATGAAAATAAAATACTAGTCAGATTGCAAATCTAGGAGCGTGGTATTCACTTCCACTCCACCAGCCAATCATCTACCAGGAAGACAACCGCATGCAACATGGAAACTCGGAGGAGAGAACACCGCACAGACGAGACTGCGACGATGCGGACACACGCTGGGGGACCGAGAGGGTCAGATTTGCCAAGACGTCTGCCACCTGCAGCCCAGCCGCTCCTGCGCCTTCTTGGCCAGCATGAGGGTGCACAGGTCACGCGACTGGTCCGTGAAGGCCGGGTGGCTGAACACGACCGCGTCCTCCAGGGTGCGGCGGCGCACCTCCTCCTTGGACACCTTCTCGCGGTAGTCCTTGAACGGCGCCCGCCCGCAGATCATCTCGTAGACGGTGCAGCCCGTGGCGAACCAGTCGGCGTCGAACGCGTACGGCTCCTCCAGCACCACCTCGGGCGACATGTAGCCGTTGGTGCCGGCCTGCACCGCGGCACGAGCCCACGTGCAGACGCGCAGAGAGAGATGGACGGACGCATGGATTATTGTCACGCGGAACTTTCGCTGTTTCCCCGGTGCCCACGTGTACGCACCGCAGCAGAAATTAATTTGAGGCTGAGACGAATTAGGTCAAGGACATGCTCAAACATCCGCCAGTGTTATTGTGCCGTGAGCGGGAATGGAACTCGGGTGGCCAGGCGTGCTGCGCGAGGCGCTAATCGCCGGCACCGCCGCTCCCCCCAGCGCAACGACACACAACCCAGCCACCCTTCCACACTGACACCCATCCACACACCCACACACACCCACACACATCCATCCACACACCCACACACAGCCACACACACCCACACACATCCACACACATCCACCCACACACATCCACACACACCCACACACACCACACCCATCCATCCACACACCCACAAAGACAAAGATCCCCGTATAGCCTTAACAGACTGTAGGGGCAAGTGCTGTTAGCGAGCACCTATGAAGGCCGCAACGGTGCACGAGGGGGTGGGTGGCCAGCACCACGCCCAACCGCCTTTGTCTCCCCAGTGGCGATGTTTACACACCGCACCAGGTACTCATTTGAGGCTGAGTCGACCTAGGGGAGGCCCGGGACCAGTTCAGATAATCGTCACTGGTGTTGGCCGTGAGCGGGAATCAAACCCGTGTCGCCAGGTTTGTAGCGCAGCGCGCTAACCGCTACACTATCGCTCCCCACACCCATCCACACACCCACACACACCCACACACATCCACACACCCACACACACCAACACACATCCACACACGAGCGACGCACGCACACGCCCGCAAGGCCCGCACCGCCGCGCGGACCGACGCACCCTCTGGCGGATGGTCTCCTGGCCGTCTGCTAGGACCACGGCGAGGCCCAGGTCGGACAGGCGGCAGTGCCCGCGCTCGTCCAGCAGCACGTTCTCGGGCTTCATGTCGCGGTAGACGATGCGCGCCGCGTGCAGGTGCTGCAGGCCGCACGTGATCTGTGCCGCGTAGAAGAGCGTGCGCGCCGGAGACAGCCCCCGCTCGCCCATCTCGTAGATGTGGTACTTGAGGTCTCCGCCGTTCATTAGGCTCATCACCTGGGGGACGGGCGTCGCGGGTCGTTACCGACTTGAGGGGACGGGGGATCGTAGGTTCGTCGGCTGGGAAACGTGGCCGTAGATCGTCACCCGGAGTGTGGGGCACAGGTCGTCAGGCTGAGAGACGGGGTCACAAGTCACCACCCGTTGCGCGAGGTCGCAGGTCGTTACCCAGGAGATGGTGTGGCAGGTCGACACCCGCGTGGCGGTGTTACAGCTTGTCACCTGGGAGACGGGGTCACAGGTCGTTACCGGGGAAATGGGGGTCAAAGGTTTTCACCTGCGGCAATCGGCTATGAGACGGGAGACGCAAGTCCTGACCTGGGTGACGGGGGTCGCGGTTTGCCGTCCGACGCGTCACGCGAGTCGCGGGCGGCCGTGGCGTCAGCCGCGGTGGCCGCCGCAGGTCGGTGCTCACCAGGCAGAGATGCGTCTTGGTTTGGTAGGCGTAGGCGAGCCGCACCACGAAGGGGCTGTTGACGCTCTCCAGGATCTCCTTCTCCAGCAGCGCCATCTGCTCGCCGTGTTTCTTCTTCAGCCGCTTCTTGTCCAGCTTCTTGCACGCGTACATCTTGCCCGACAGCTTGCCCTGGATGGCGCACACCTGGGGGAGAGTGTGCAGGATGAGCAATGCTCTCGCCGTGGTGGTCACGTGGATTTTTCTCCGGGTCCTCCGGTTTTTCCCTCCACATTTAGAATCAACGTGCGTTTAGAGTATTTGGCTGCTATACATTTCTACGCGATAAGGCACTTTGCTGAGTGATCATTTCTGGCCAGGTCTGAAAAAGAGCTGTACAGCTCAGTGGGCCTTACCTGGTAAAACAATAATTTGAGTGAAGCAATGACTCTGCCAACTACCGGTTCGATTACTCGATTACGCTCCAGGAAAATGTTTTATTGAACGATTCCCGTTTGTGCAATCTATATATATAATCGCGAACCTGTCTGTCTGTCTGTGTGTGTGTGTGTCCCCGGACCATACGCACTTTCATTGGACGCCGGTTGCCCCTGGCAACGGCTAGCGACGCCTTCGCCGCTTTCATTGGACGGCGGTTGCCCCTGCCAACGGGTAGCCACGCCTTCGCCGCTTTCATTGGACGGCGGTTGCCCCTGCCAACGGGTAGCCACGCCTTCCCAGCAGCCGGGTGGACGCCATATTTTTTATTCCCGTTAAAAATAGGCGCACGCATTAACACGCGAATCTGACGTAAATTCAGCAAAGTTTCACGTCCTCTTCACTCCCCCCCCACCACAATGTGTGCAATTACTATTATAGGCTCGGTTGATTATAAAATTATAGCGATTACACAGTATTATTGTAGCGCGGGGGGGGGGGGGGGAACGCCACCCGTACCCAACGTCAGCCGGGTGGGAAAATCAGGCGAGGCCGGAGGCTCTGCACGGTGCTAGGCCTCGACACCCACCACGCAACTCTGAGGTAAATTCATCAAAGTTTCACGTCCGCTTCACTCCCCCCCCCACCACAATGTGTGCAATTACTATTATAGGGTCGGTACATAATAAAATTATAGCGATTAGACAGTTGGATTAGCCATGTTTGTTTGTTGTAGTACAGACTTAGCCTCATCACTTTCATCTAAATTGTCTTATGGTTGTTATTCTTTGACTTGCATCCCACTGGGATTTTTGCACACAGCGTTGAAATACGCAGTTTTTTCTGGAAGACTGCCGTTTTTTTCTCCAATTTTCTCTTGCGTGTAATCACTTTAAGATGTTTCGTGTTCTTTTTTTATTAGTTGCGGTTGTACCACAGTCAAGAGCCGCATGACTCTCAGGGTTATCTATATAGATAAAAAGGAAATTTGTGAATGTGTGTCTGTTAAAAATGTTTAACGTACTTCCCCACATGCAACACACTTCAAATTTGCCATGTGGGTACCTTAATAAGTGTACACCATGCTAAAATTCTAAAAAGAGACTTTTTATTTTTATTTGGGGTGGGGGGAGCGCAATAATGCATATATTTTGCACGGCAAGTGAGCTGTCACGTCACATCTCTGTCATGTCAGCCGCGCATGTGGAAGCGTAACGCAGTGTGCCTGCTCATCTCACCACCCCCCACCAACCCTCCGCGGCGTGGCTACAGTGCCATAAAAATGTCTTCCAGGTCTAAGGCGTTGTTCGCAAAGCATTGCTTTATTATTTCAGCCGTTTACTGCCATACGCACCCTGAAAGTTGTGTGTGTCTGCTGCAAGCGCGTGTATGTGTACCTATGGACGCGTGCGCGTATGTGTGTGTGGGGGGGGAGCGGAACCCGGCGACCCAAATTCGATTCCCGCTCATGGCCACCACCGGTGAGCATTATTTTTACCGCTCCTGGGCCTCCCCTAGGGCGACTCAGCCTGAAACGAGTAACTGGTGTGGTGTGTGAACATCGCCACTGGGAAGACAAAGGCGGCCGGGCGTGCTGAATCCAAGACCCGGGCGAAGCCGGGTAGTAAAGCTAGTATATTCCATTTCTCACCAGAGACACAGTTGTTTTTGCTCCGATTTCGATTAGCTGAATTGCTGTATTTTTTTTAGTTGATTTATTTGACTTTGGTCATATTATGTTACCCCAGGTGACCCTGGCAAATGAGACGCCTTTACAAGTTCTCACCCTGGTTAAGCAAAATCAACTTGATTCTTCACCAATCGGGACAACATGTCAGGAGTTGGGAAAAAAAAGTAATCACTGCCGTTCCCTAGTGTGACGCTGGACGGGAGGTGACGGATTGGGGGGGGGGGGGCGGTTTGTGAGGTCACGATGGTGGATGTGGCTCGGTAACGGCGGGGGCCCGAGTGATCAAGCACAAGAAAAAAACAAGGAGCGAACGAGAACGTTTCAGCCAATTGACGCGAACCAGTCTGAATGAGAAGAGGAATCACATGACACGAGGAATATCTCTCACTGTCAACTGGATCCTGGTCAATTCTGGCAAAGAAAAAAAGCTATTAATGACGGTTTAGAGCCCTTAAATCCACTGCTGGTGCTGGATGAAGGCACTCCCCATACCGTTTCGCATCACGAGAGGGGGGGGGGATTTTGACCATACTTCGCTAAGCCAGTCAACCGCGGGGTTGGTAAAAAGGTGTGGGCAACCACTCGTCAAAGTGTCAGATACATTTCGGCCGCTGATGGTGGGCGTGCCCAAGGCAATTGAACCCGGGTCGCCAGGTCCATCGCGAGTGGCGCTAATCGCTGCGCCGCCGCTCCTCCGCGGCGCGCGCATAAGCAATAGTGAGAGCACTGCAACATTTGCGAGCGCCGCCTTTGATCGCACCGTGTTTTATTTACGGAGCGAACGCCGATACCATTGCACTCACCCTCTTGTGATCAGTGCACAAAGGCTCGATTCAGAACGCAGCGTGCGCAATATATTTATTTTTTGCGTTATATTTTATTATTATTATTATTGTAATGTCAAGCAAATCTGTTTTATAAAATCCAGGCGGGAATCGGTTTAGATCCAATGTCGCCGTTTCACATGCAGGACCTGAAAAATTCAAGCCATTAGGACACCGTGAAAATGCCAGGAAATGTTTTGTGTCCGTTTAACATGGGCGCTGTTTAACATTCGGGGCAATGTCAATACATTTAAAAACACAGTTGATGTGCATAGATGATCAACATTGCAACTCGGCTCAAGCGGCGATTAATGACGCTCGTGGTAATCATAGCCGATGATGTTGGTGATGATGACGGTAATGTAACTGCTGATACTGTTGCCACTTCTCGTGCTGGTGGCGACGATGGAGGCTAATAATGAAAATGACATCGTTGCTGCTGCTGCTGCTGCTTCTAACGATGACGACAACTACGACGCTGCGAACTCGACAGCGACGAGCGCCGCTGCCGTTCAGGACTGCCGACGACGGTGGCGAGGAGCGGTGTCTCCATACCTCCCCGAAGCCGCCCTTGCCGAGCGTGCGGAACTCGTAGAAGGAGCGCTCGTTCACTGGCTGCCTCTCCAGCACCTTCCACTGCAGCAGCCTGTCGAAGAAGGGGCTTGCCAGGAACTCCTGGAAGGGCTGCCCCACCAAGAAGAGGCGCGCCTCCCCGCGGGCGCGACGCACCAGCTCCTCGGCCTCCTGGCCACCGGCGGAAGCCGCCGCGGCCGCCAGCTCGGCGCTCAGGAACGTCAGGGAGCGCTCGGAGTCGGCGCGCAGGAACGCCGCCACCGTTGCGGCCGCGAAGCCCTCGCGAGCGCCGTCCTCCGACAGCTGGACCTGCTCCGCCTCGTCCAGGAATTCCACGGCGTGGGCGTACTCCGGCACCCCGCCGGCGAACTGGCGGAACAACCGGCGCCCGACGGGCTGCTCCTCGCACAGCCCCGCGTAGGTCTGCGTGCCGGCCACCTTGGCCCTCATATCGACGCACTGGGCTCCCCGCGGCCCCGGCAGCACCATGCTGCACCGTCGCTTCTTCCCGCTGCCGCCGGCGCCGTCGCCACTCTTGCGCGCCTCCAGGTAGGCCGTGTTGGCGATCAGGTTGTCGAGGGCGCCCAAGTCGCACATGGTAGCGGTGGTGGTGGTGACGGTGGTGGTGGTGGTGGTGATGGGAGTGGTGGTGGCGGTGGTGGGAACGTCGCTCTGCCTCCTCCTCCGGCTGTGTACGCCGATCAGGTGTGGCTTTATTTTTTAATTTTCAGATGCGCCGCTAAGCCGCGCGCACGGGAAAGGAAAACGAGGTCAGGCTCCTGCCCCCCCTGCAAAACCACCCACCTCCCCCACCCCCCCGCTCCTCAAAAATGAAAGCAAAGCGACCGGAGTGGCAATTACGACTTGCACGATGAGGAGCTATTATCTGCGACGAGAGTACCGGCTCTTGACTCTCGGAGGGAGACGTCACCGGCAACGGATTTATCTCCGTCAAGTCCCGCGCTCGATCGCCAGTGCTCCGGCAACGAGCTGCCGCGCTGCGGCGCCACTTAATACCCGCTTTGCCACGCCGCTCTAAGTCCATCTCCTCGGCACAGCCTAAGACGGAACTTTGCAAGCCTCCGCACAAAAACGGCTTAAGGGCCCGCGATTGTGACAGTGAAAGTGGCGGTGGCGGTGACAGTGGCAGTGACGGCGGTGTCTCCACGGCCACGACGGGCGCTCCCCGACACCTCAACCGCGGGCGTCATCTCCCCTGCCACGTGGGCGCGCGCCACGCTCCCACGATGCAAACCGCCGCCGCGTCGCCGCTCCGGGCAAGTGCGCCGCAGAGCCGCCAGCAGCAGTGCTCTAGGCGGAGCGACGAAATCGGCTCGTGCGCCGGAGCGCCGGGTGGATCGGTGCATCGTGGGACCGTGGAGGGACGGCGACGGCTTGCGGAGGCCTTCGTCCGACAGTGGATTGTGCCGTGGCTGACGACGGTTGTGTTTATGCGAGCGCCGCAAGCTCGGCGGTTGATTGTTTCCCCTGCCGTTGTCACCGGGCACTATCTCGCCGCGCGCTGCGATTTGCCGCCGACGCTGTGGGACTGCCAAGCGAGGCTCTGATTTGTGAAGGCCCCGGAGGAGGCCCGGGGGGACCTCCTCACCGCTGGAGACTCTTTGGAGAATCTGGGGACAACAGAGCTCTCCCCTTTCCATCACAAAAACCGGGTCGTCAATGCCCAATCGACGTTTCCCTTTGCACGTTCACCAATTCAACCGGGACAATCGAATCCCGAGTTGTCTTCTAGAGATTGGCGCACGACAGAGGAGTTTTAAATAGGATCCGAGTGGCCGAGTACTTAAAACTAAAATATAATTAAACGTGCTGTCGGCGTCCGGTCACGAGTCCAAGAATCCATTTGGACCTCTCGCGGTGCGGTGCGACCCTTCGCGTTAGAGAACGGCCCCAAGAAGTGGATATCACAGAGCATCCTCCGAGATCCCTTCAAGCAAAAATGTTCACCGAACACAGGGGGGCAGCACTTACCCACCCGCGCGACACGTGAGAGCGATGTTCACCACACCGCATTCAATTCATTCTCAGAACCGGAATGCGACCAAATTAGGTGCAGCGGCTATTTTCGTTTACGTGATTAGCTTTTGTTTGTTTGGCGCAGTCTTTGGTGACCAGGCCGAGGCCGTCACCGCACTGTACCCGAGGACCCGGTTGAATCACACCGGCAGCTGCCTAGATTCTCAAGCCGGATCTGGGCACCCTGAACTCCGAGCCGTCAGCCACCTCGAGGAGAAGCCTCAGGGAGGCGCCCAACAGCGGAGCGCTGTCGCCTCCCACGGCCAAACGTTATCACTCGCCACGGCCTCGACGCCGCTACTCCGTAGCCCGTCCCGTGTCCGTTGCTTTCCAGCCCCGTGCGCACGGACTCACCCCATCGCTCTTGCGAGCGAGACTATCTCTGGCCTCTTGCGGTCTCGTAAAACCAAGCCGACTCGGCGCTTCTGGGTGCACCGTGGGAGTGTTCCTCAAGGGCATGTGGGGCCATGGCGGGAGGTGGGCCGATGGCCGTCGGGGACTCCGGCTGGCCCGCACGAGAGCCTGAAGGGCCACGGAAAAGGACTTCGTTTCGAGCTGTAGGTGGGTGGGCAGGAGAAGTCACGGCAAAAGGTTAGACGCTGTTCACTCCCAATTGTAACGAGCTGCACGAAGTGCGTTATCTAAGCAGGGGTGAGCTTGGATAGGGCCTGGATGGGCGACCACAGCTCGTGACAGGCGCTACAGGCTGCGGGGCTACACGGAGCACACAAGTGTTTATCAACCCGCACCGGCCAGCGTGGCCAATCGGGGTCAACCCAACCCCACGACTCGCACGGAGGTGGAGTGTGGAGGCCCTCACACCCAGCGGTGGCTTGGCAAGACGATGGCTGTGCGTGTACATTACGTAATGATGAATCCCCCGCGCATCGGAGTTGAGCAGGCATGTGCACCGTGCGCCGACACGCACGTCCACCTCTGCACGGTCCAAGCTGCTCGCGTGGGCTCTCTCGCCCCGCTCGGCGTGTCGTTGCGCCGGGGATAAAAGTGCCGAGGCGGCGCGACCCACCGGGCTGCAGACAGCGACGGCGGCCCCGAAGATTACGCGGCCGACTCCTGCGAAATCCGCTTAGCCACGGCCGCTCGCCAAAAACGCACGGCACCGCGTCTCCGCCACCCTTGAGCCGCCGCCGCTGCTGTCGTAAGTGGCACACGGTGCGGCATTCAAGGACACTCCGGCACAGAGACAACGGTCCCCCCCCCGCAGTAGCCTACGTGGGCCTTAGGTGCTGCTAGCGGACAATGGTGCGGTTAGCACCACACCCAACCTTTTGTATCAAACCCAGGGCTGATGTTTGTGCACTGCACCACCCAGGATAAGCCCAGGATCGGTTTAGATATTTGACACAAATGTTACCCGTGGTGGGAAATCAAATACAGGTTGTCGGGGTCATAGCGCAGTGTGCTCACCACTTCGCAAGACAGACGAGGACAAACACGCACGCACACTAACAATAAATACTGTATAGGAGCGTGGCTCTGCTGCAGATGACAATCCTAGAAAGGGTCCTATCAGGTGAGGAGAACTGGGTCATGGCCAGGAGCTCCCATTTTGGCAGCCTGTAATTTACATGATGAACACATCTCTTACAAACACACACACTGCCAAAGCTCATATCAGTTAAAGAAGAATATATTAGGTGCCAGTAGCGTAGCTGCACTTGTTTACCAAGAGAGACTTCGAAATGTTATTTTAGTTTTTTTTAAAATTCCTTTACCCTTCAACCTCCAGAAAGTTTGCCATTCGCGCGGCCAGTTTCCATTCGTGTTCGATTTCCGGTGACGGCTAAACTCCACGACGGGCGAGATCCGAACCGACCTGAGCTCCCTCCGCCCTTCACCAATCCACAAGGTCAAACAAGCAGCGTTGGTGACGGCGCGGGGAGGCCCTTCATGCAACGGTGGACGGAAAAAGGGGTGCACGACAATAATCATTGCCATGCACTTTTTCCTTTCCTGTAAATCGCCGCGTTTGATTGAAGTACGTTGTACGTACGCAAGTATGTTCAACTTATTTCGCACTGTACGCAGCCAACCGTGCTAAATCGGGAGGTGCGATGGGGATGCGGATCGCTGACCGATTCGCTCACCAGGTCACATACAAGAAACCATTTCCGCGCTCCACACGGGAGACTCCGACACGGGAGGGAGGAGGCAGAAGCTCATCTTAAACGTTTATTTTCGTCGACGCAAATAATCTGCACACACGGTGACACGCAGCTTTACAAACGCTCCATCCCGGACCAAGAGCATCCACCCTTGTATCGCGCTCCCTCACGGCGGCCCCCTCTCATAGCCAGCCCCAAACACCCAGACGGCATTACAACGCATCAGCTCGTCACAAAAACGCAAACCCTCAACAAGCGTCCCAACGTGCGCAAACGGCAGCCCGTTTAACCTCTCCGATGGCGTTGTCGAGTGTCACCGCGTGCTGTCCGGCACGATGTCCGACGTTTTGCTCAAGGTGCGGGGAATTGCGTCAGGGGCCGAAGAAACTCCCGGCACGTGCAGCGAAACGTCGGGCCGTCGCGCCGATCGACACACGGTACAACAGGGTGACGCTTCGGAGAGATACGCAGGACAACCGCGAAACCTACACAGTAGTAACAGCCTCTTTTTTTACAAGATTGCTTCTCGACAAGCTCACACACATCGCACGCTCTAATACTGTGCACAAAACCGTGGGATTGGCAGCAATCAATTGGCCATGACAATCGCGATTCTGTTCGGCCACCGACCTCCCAGAAAACAAAACTAGACATGCACAGACGCACTCAAGGCGTATGCTGTTTGCACACATCACGTAACCACTCTCATGCAGGGGAATGGCTTGTGGCACATTCGAGGACGTAGAAATTGCAACGGTTCTGTTCCACCATGCTCGTTAAGCCCGGGGTGGGGGGGGGGGGGGGTTGGGGGGGGGTGACGTGGAAACAAACGACGGTGAGAGGAGCTTTGTTTTAGCGCGCCAATCCGATTACGCCGACGGTTTTATTTTTTACATGTTTAGTAATTTAGGCGAGAGATTAAGACAGGGTCCCGTAAGGAGACCGCCGAGAATGGCTCGGCCTCGTTTGTAAGTGCCCACCACCCAAGGTACAGGACTGCGTGCGGGCAAAGGGAAGGCCGCAGAGAGTCGAGAATAACTTGTATTGACGGGGTCTGTTGAGGTGAGCGCTGTTGCCGCAAAGCACTGAACCGGCGAAGGAATCTGGAGAGCGGCCCAACAGCGCGCACGACACCTTGCCGAGTGGTGGAGGCGTCGGCAGCCGCCCAGGAAACCGGGTGAACAGCGGGCGTGCGTGCGGTTCAATGCTTACAATTTGGGATCGCAATAAAAATAACCTCGTCTCTTTTGTCTCTTTTGTGCCGTGTCTCATTCTATTTTTGTCACATTTGTAAAAAAAAAAAAACAAGTTTCACTACCACAGCCTAAATGCAACATTTTCCTATAAATTGCGTAAATCGTAAGTAATCGATTGGCACGCACGTAATGCCGTTGCACGCATCGCTGGAGTGAGAATCGATGTTAATCTACGAGTCGTGCCAGTGCGCAGCATGCCATTACGCTTTACTCCCTAAGACAGCCCCCCACACCAGCGCTGACAAATTCACCGACAGCGAGCAGTGGTTCTACGGAGAGACATCCCGCGCACGGCCCTGCGAAGCCACTGCACGCGCTCTAACGAGACAAATCCACGGGGCCGAGTAAGCGCAGCGAGGGGAGCCGGCGCGCACACTCCTTGACCCCCCCCCCCACCCGTATGCAGCAAGCGGCGTGCCAACACGTGGAGCATGCAGACGGCTGCCCGTAAAATTCACAACCCACACTCCCAAACGTACCCACGCGCCACGGCTCGCGCGCCACCGCCGATCGCTCCTTCCGGTTTATTCTTCAACTCCGCGATGGCCTGAGAGATTTCCCCCCCCCCCCCCAACGCCTTGGAGCCCTACCCACGAGCACGGCGCGCAATCTCCGTGTCGGGGTGGGGGCGGCTCCTCCTCCTGCTCGTCCTCGCGTCCACGCGTGGCGACGATGCCCGCGGGCATCATTTGCCTATTCTCTGCACCACCCAGTCTTGCTGGCACAGCGGGCAGCGGTTGTTCTGCTTGACCCAGAGCGACATGCAGCAGTTGTGGAACGAGTGGTTGCACTCGCCCCACACCACTGCACGGGAGGGAGAGAGGAGGAGAGAGGAGAGGGCAGAGTGAGCGTGCACCCCGGGCTCGCGTTGTGTCCTGCACACACGTCACGCTTAAGAGGCCGCAATGCACGGTGGGTGTGGGGGCGTAGCCTTGGCACACTCCTCGCCGACATGTGGTCAGCAACTGCATGTACGAAACGTCGTACTCAGATTGTAAATGTTGTGGCTTTGCTCTCCAACACACCGGTGCTGCTGTACTAGTAACGAATTGGCATGTTCTGTTTATGTGACAAACCTTACTAATTGGCTGTGTCAGGTTTGACGACACATTTATATCTTTACGCGATCTAACAAACAAAAAACCCCCTATTATGGGTGACACATGCATGTATGTCGACCTTCTTCCGCACCGTACGTAGCCAACCGCGCTAATCGGAGGTGCGGGGGAATGGAAAACAAACTAAGACACAAAAAGCCGTCCTGAAGAAACCAGTTATCAATCTAGAATCATTTAAAAGTGCATAGCTCCGGTGGCTTCATAATATCGGCAGGAGGAGCGTTCCAGACGGCCGCAGAAGCGAATCTGAAACGCGCCGCGCGTCGCACAATCTCGTCGCGTCGTCCGGTAACCGTGACGAGCCACGAGGGACAAGTCGAACCCGCGCCAGAGAGGTTCCCCGGTACAACGGGCCAAGGAACAGCGACTCGGACGAGCTAAAATTAGCGACATCTGTTTTGCCGGGTCCGAAAAAAAAATGAAAAACAAAAAATTCTCCCGCTGTGCCCGATGGGTGCGGGGAACGACACGGAGCATGGCCAGACCCCGCGGGGCCATCGGTCCCCCGGCCCCCCACCAGATTGTGTTGACGCGGAGCGTGGCCAGACCCCACTGGGCCATCGGTCCCCCGGCCCCCGTCACCCCACCAGATTGTGTCGATGCGGCTAGCCCCAGGGTGGCGGCGACGGTGTTCGGCTCTTACCCACACAGTCCTCCTGCTTGCTCTCCGCTTGGCACCGCAAGCACGCGTCTGTGGAAGAAGGGGGGGGACAAACCTCGGGGTCAATGCCGTCTGTGGTCGGAGCATTCGGGGAGACAGCAAGGAGAATGCTAACACTTACATGGGATTATCGTTTTTGTGAAAAGAATAACGGATAATACACTCGAACATGATAACAAATGTGATGTTAATAGTTTCAAGAAGTCAAAGAGTCTCTCTCCACTTGTTCGCCACCATTGTCAAAGCGTGCCTGGAATCTTCTCCAGGTGGTCTCCAGAACCTAGAGGCAGCACACAACATTGTGTTGAAGCGCCCTGCACGTCACCGCGTCCCACCGCTCCTCTCCAGAGCCTAGAGGCAGCACACGACATTGTGTTGAAGCGCCCTGCACGTCACCGCGTCCCACCGCTCCTCTCCAGAACCTAGAGGCAGCACACAACATTGTGTTGAAGCGCCCTGCACGTCACCACGTCCCACCGCTCCTCTCCAGAGCCTAGAGGCAGCACACGACATTGTGTTGAAGCGCCCTGCACGTCACCGCGTCCCACCGCTCCTCTCCAGAACCTAGAGGCAGCACACAACATTGTGTTGAAGCGCCCTGCACGTCACCGCGTCCCACCGCTCCTCGCTGGCGTCTCCCAGCCGAGGCCGGTGACGCTTCTCGATTAAAGTTCCGCGAGAGGCCCGGGGAGAAGCCGGCTGATGAAGGGGACCCCCCGGGACCCCCCCCACCCCCAGGGGCTCAGAGAGAGGGGGGGGGGGAGATCAGGGCCAGGGGAGGGGGTCGGGGGGGGCAGGGGGGAGATCTGGGCTAGGGGAGGGGGTCAGGGGGGGGGGAGAGATCGGGACCAGGGGAGGGGGTCAGGGGGGGGGGAGAGATCGGGACCAGGGGAGGGGGTCAGGGGGGGGGGGTCAGGGGGGAGATCGGGGCCAGGGGAGGGGGTCAGGGGGGGGCAGGGGGGAGATCGGGGCCAGGGGAGGGGGTCGGGGGGGGGCAGGGGGGAGATCTGGGCTAGGGGAGGGGGTCAGGGGGGGGGGAGAGATCGGGACCAGGGGAGGGGGTCAGGGGGGGGGGAGAGATCGGGACCAGGGGAGGGGGTCAGGGGGGGGGTCAGGGGGGAGATCGGGGCCAGGGGAGGGGGTCAGGGGGGGGCAGGGGGGAGATCGGGGCCAGGGGAGGGGGTCAGGGGGGGGGGGCAGGGGGGAGATCGGGACCAGGGGGGGGGGGAGATGGGGGTGATGATGAGGAGTGAACGGCGAGCTGGGTGTGGTGGGGGGGGGTGTGGGGAGGCGACGATCTGTTCCTGGCGACCCGGGGGGGCCGCCAGGAACGGGGATCCGCGCTGGGGGCTCGGCGCGCGGGGGGTGGTGCCGAAGGGAATGGAGCGCGAGAGGAGCGAGGAGAAGAGGTGCGAGGAGAGGTTCGGCAGCGGCGGCGGCGGCTGGGTTCGAGTCGAAGGGGAGAGAGCTGCGAACGGTGGAGGAGGAGGAGATGATGGGGGGGGAGGCGGTGTAGCAGCAGCAGCAGCGAGCGAGCGCGGCCCACGAGAGGCTCCTCACCCATGACCTGGACGCGGCAGATGGCGCAAGTGTCGCACTCCACGTCCCAGCTCCACATGGCCACCGCGTTCCACTTCTTGAGGGAGAACATTCGCTCGGGCCCGGCCCGCTGCGAGCCCACGGGGCCCGCGACGGGGCCCGGGTCCCTCACGGGCGGCGGCGCCGCCGCCTCGGCCTCGTCACCCTCCGCGTCCGCCATGCCTCGGCTGGCTGCCGCTGCTGTTGCCGCTGCTGCTGCCGGCACAGACGCCGCGGGGCAGCAAGGGGGCAGTAGAGAGGAGGGCAGCGGAGAATGTCCGTGATTTGTTTGTGTAGTTGGCGGTGTCTTCTCGCTCCCCGCCCACCACCACCACCACTCCACTCCCGGAGTGTTTCAGTTCCATTTATTCACCACACCCGGCCGCCTTTGTCTCCCCAGTTGGCGATGTTCACACAGCCACACCAGTTACTCGTTTGAGGCTAAGTCGACCTAGGGGAGGCCCAGGACCGGTTCAAATCGTCACCGGTGGTGGCCGTGAGCGGGAATCGAACTCGGGTCGCCGGGTTCGTGGCGCGGCGCTACCTACTACACTACAACGCGTCACGCTTCCACGTGCGCGGGTCACGTGACAGATGTGACGTCACAATTCAGATTGCAAAAAATAAATGCATTATTGAGCTCCTCCCCCCCCCCCCCCCCCAATTTTTTTTAAAATAATGTTTGCATGGTATACAGTCTGAAAAGTACCCACATGGCAAATTTACAGTTTGTTGCATGTCGGGAAGTACGCTAAACATTTTGAACAGACACACACAATCACAATGTTGCCTTTTATATCTATGGAGATAGCCGTGTGAGCCATTCGGCTCTTGACTCGGGTGCAACCGCAACAAACTAAAACGTGAACAAGAAAACATCTTCAAGTGACTGCGCCTTGATTCTCCTCCCGCTCGTGAACTGCGCGATGCCTCTCCTCATCATTCCGCTCCGACTCAACCAAAGTTGGGGGGGCTGTGTCGGGTGGAGGAGGGCCTACGACACACGCTTTACTGGCGCGATCTCACCCCTCCATCTGTTGTGATGCATCACAGTGCCCCGTCATTGGTCGCGCGTGTTACATCTCATCCACGCGAGCTCTCTGGCCTCTCTATGCGCTATAAGGAGCATTGCCTGAAACGTCGGTCGTTGTAATTGTTTCCTGTTAAGGGCACACCACTGTGGCCGCCTAGCGTGTTTTTGTATTGTTCTAACGTTCTGGCCCGCCTTTACTTGACATCTGTGGAGTAGAGCTTTAGAGCTCGTCGGATTCCTCCGCTATCAATACAGATTCTGTTGAACGTTTTGAGTTGTTTTTTCCGGTGCTCGTGCTGCCAACTCATAGCAACAACAACAACAACGATAATTGGTTTTTTACCCTTTTATCTGGCAACAAACCTGACACTTTTTTTTACAAGGAGTCATGTTTGCATTGACCACAATACCTGCGGTTGGAATGCAAACAAAAAACACAACTCTGATAATGTATGCACTGTCCTTGAAATTGATTGGTCCACACCCGTGACAGCTTTTCTTAGAGCCTAGTCTCACATGGTGTTGGACCAGATGACGCCAAAAGGCAGGTATTGTGGTCAATGCAAACATGACTCCTCGTAAAAATAAGGTGTCAGTTTTGTTGCCAGATAAAAGGGTAAAAAATAAATTATCATATTTTGCTACTGGCAAAGGAGGTTCCAATGGTGGAACAACAACAACATTAAGCAGACACCATGCCCCTTCCCATGAGTGTCCTTCCACATTACAACAACTAAAAGTATTGCACAGCCCATCAGCAACAGTCTTCTGCAAGTGCATAATTTCAATCTCAATGTAGATTGAAAACTCGTGTCTTTAGCACTGCTCTTTGTGTTTAGTTTGTTGTCTACGCACGGTGCGAAAGAAGTTCAATATGCATCATTGATTCAATATGCGCAAACTCTGGTTTGGTTTCGATATTCATTCTCTGACCAGCAGATTCAGTGTTGCATGAACCGATGCGGTCGAACTTGTTCAAAGCTGGACAATCTATCAGCTGTGCAAAAGCGCTGTTATGCCCCAAACGTCCCCTATTATACCGTTCTCAGTGTTATTTGCGAATGTGTTGAGAGAGTAGAATAGGACAGCAGACAGCGTAGGGTGGGTGGGTGTAGGGTGGGTGGGTGTAGGTGGGTGTAGGGTGGGTGAAGGGTGGGTGTAGGGTGGGTGTGTGTAGGGTGGGTGTAGGATGGGTGTCGGGTGAGTGGGTGTGTGGTGCCACAGCGACGGGGCCGCTCTGCCGAGCCAGGGAGCCGCCCGGCTTCCCCCACCGCACTGCCCCCCATCACCCGCCCCACATAAGCACACACCCGCACGCATCCCCCCCCCCCCCCCCATAGAGCTGGAAGGGAAGGTTACCTGATCGACCGGTTTTTATCCGAGAGACCCTTATCGGGATTAATTCTCACGGTTTCCGGCGATCAGGGAATTGGATGACCTCCCCCGTGCTACGTGGTACCGCGGTGCTGCTGCCAGCCTTAATATGGTGTGGTCGCGGCGTGGGGCATTCGGCCACCGCGGTTGAGGCGCATTTCCCCCCACACACACCCCCACGAGTCGACGGGGCAAGCAGGGGAGGCACGAGACAGCATGAATAGCGGGGTCACAGGGGCTGTTGCGCATAGTCATGGAGGGTTGGGATAATTGCGCTTGAGCGCGCAAGCCCCATTGTTAGGAAGGGTAAGGGAGTAATTAGGATGTACGCCGCCAACGTCGCGCACTGATTAGCATATCAACAGCGCCCGGGAACCGCCGTGCGCGGGCTTGGGGTGCACGAGCCCATTGTTCAGCGCAGCATCCCCTTTGAGGTAGGGAGGATAAATAGAGGAGCGGAGAGGGGAAATCGCCCCTTCTCTCCAGGCCAGCGGACCAGCAGGAGTTCCAGCCAGCGACCCGGACGTCCGTGCGACGCATCGAGGTACGCTGTTAGCGCAGAGAGCAGCGAACCTCCGCGGGCACCAAACAGTGAGTGGGGAGGTGAAGTAGGGTATCGTAAGCCGATAAATAGGGAATAGGTACAGGTTTAGTGGAATAGGCCAGCCTCGTCGACTCACTGATTCCACATCAATTCGCAGGTGGCATATAATAAATCATTAATAGCGAAGCGTGGTCTCGCGTGATCTTGTCGTGCAGTGTGAGCGTGTGGGTGCGCTGTGTGCACAGTGGTTCGCCACGTGAGTGAGCGCTGCGCGGAGCTGAGCGCGCGGGTTGCGCGTGGGTACGCAGTGATTCTGTGGTGCTGCGGCTCGCCTCGGGGGAGCGCTGCGCAGAGCGGTGCGAGAGTGGGTGTCGCGTGTGTTCACTCCGTGTGTGATACAGGTGCGCGAGTATAACGTGAGTTGAGTTGGAGTGCGCGGAGCGGCGTGTGTGTGGGCGTGCGTGCGTAATCGGCGTCCCCCAGGTGCGCGCTCATAACGTGAGCGGCCAGCAGGCGGCGAGCGCTGCGCAGAGCGGCGCAAGAGTGGGTATCGCGTGTGGAGCTGTATGCGTGTGTGCGCGCACGTTCACTACGTGTATAATACGGATGCGCATTGGGAACGTGCCGCACAGGGCTATACTGCGAGCACGGCGTTTGATCGACGATGATGTGCGCACGTATGCTCGCAGCGTGGGAGCGCGGCGCGAGGCTGTAACCGTAGGGGCGTCGCGTTCGAATGCCGGCGAAACCGTAGCGGGTAATAGGGAGGTGGGGTAACGTAAACGAATAGGGGATGCAGGCGGGAGGGACCCCGGGGGCCGACGGCCCCCACAGGTGTAGGGTGGGTGTCGGGTGGGTGTCGGGTGGTTGGGTGTAGGGTGGGTGTCGGGTGGGTGTAGGGTGGGTGGGTGAAGGGAGGGTGTAGGGTGGGTGTCGGGTGGGTCTAGGGTGGGTGTAGGATGGGTGGGTGTAAGGTGGGTGGGTGTAGGGTGGGTGAAGGGTGGGTGGGTGTAGGGTGGGTGTAGGGTGGGTGGGTGTAGGGTGGGTGTCGGGTGGGTCTAGGGTGGGTGTAGGATGGGTGGGTGTAGGGGTGGGTGTAGGGTGGGTGTAGGGTGGGTGGGTGTAGGGTGGGTGGGTGTAGGTGGGCAGCATCGAGACAAAAATTCGTGGGTGGGAGGAAAGAGCGTGTCGGGAGCTATGGTGGGGGGAGCAGGGGGTGAAGCATGAGGAGTAGACGGGGGTTAACGGGGGCTGTCGAGGTTAGCAAAGGGGGCCAGCAGGGGGAGCAAGAGGCACGTGCCGTGTAAACTTTTGCATCGGTCGAAAGAAAAAAAAGTGACTGAAACGCTTCACTGTGCTAATGATGGGGCATTTTGGACACGTAAAAAAAACGTGTTTATTGTGAGAATAGGTTTCCCCCCTTTAATCTGGCAACAAAACAGGTGTGAAGTTGTTCAAACACCAAACTGAAACCTTTTACGAGGAATCATGTTACTGCATTAACCACAATACTTGTGGTCAAAATGCAAACAAAAACACACTGATAGCATATGCATTGCCTTTGATCCTGATTGGTCCTCTGGACGCCAAAAGGCGTACAGCACAAAAACAATGCACTATCAGAGTAACGAAAGCTCGGGGTGAATTCCTCAGTAGCTCTCCCACTAAAAATGTTCACCTGATAACGATTGCTTGTGTTGCGATCGAAACATCGTGATCTTTTGAATATTTTTTTATCTACGTGGCTTTACCGACAGAATATGAATTCATGCAGTTATACAAGCTTTAAGGCAAGATTTTATTTAACATCTGTTTTGTTGCCAGATAACAGGGGAAAACCCTATTCCCAGATTATTATGGTACAGTACTGGCAAAGAACGTCCCATGATGTAAACGTGTTTATTGCATAATGTGTAGACAGGTTCGGGTATCAATCTTGATTTGAAGCTTTCGTGACTGCATTCAGGTTCGGGTATATACCCCAAGCAGGGCGATGACAATTTAGCACAACACTCGTAATGGATGGAACACAATTAGAATCGTACTCGACAACATAAGAAAGAGCTTTCATTATATTAACAGTTTCCCTCCCCAAGCGGGGAGGTGCACCATTCCCGGAGGTACTGCAATACCGGGTTGATACGCGGAGTGGACGGAGCAAGCCCCTATTCCATCTCCCTGTCCCAAAAATCAATTTAATATAAGGTACCACAATGTGGTACGTATCAGATATTAAACTGATAAGAACAGATACTACACTTGATCTTAGCCAAAAGGCCGAGAAGCGATAACTATAAGCTGTCGGTGGTGGGGTACACATATCCACACATCTTCCCTCTACGCTATGGGTTGAAACCATGATTATCACAAAACTGTTATTTCATATGAAACACAGCCAAAACACGGAACATCGGAACATTCTAAAGAGCTTCATATTAATCTTTTTCGATGAAAAGCGTTTTTTAAAATCGAAAATGTATAAGAATAGCACAATGTCAGAATCCCGCGCAATGACTTATGGGGAGACGTCATAAACTAATCTACGCTATGGGTCGTACCGTGATAAAATACAAAACGGATATTTTAGATGTAACACAATCTAAATAGTGCTGTGCAGACATTGTATACCGCTTTACATTATATATTACAATTCGGATAGCTGATTTTTATTCAGAAAATCTAAAATTATAGCAAATTATTATCATCCTGCGCAGACGCTCGTGGTATCGCCGATCTTGCCGCTTTTAGCCAATCAAACGAAGGGGAAGTGTCACATTATTACTCGATCCATGGATCGATTGATCCAACTTTGACCCTCAACATCAGACGCGTGGGTGCTTCTTGCAGCTGCTGCTTCTACTGCTGCTGCTGTTCATGATGATGATGGTGGAGGGGTGGAGGCTGCTGGGAGGACGAGGGGGTTGGAGGGACACGGGGACGTGAAGACGAGGAGGGACACCCGTAGACACGCGGCGTTTAAAGGCAGCGCGTGGGGATGGATGTGAGGTGGGTGGGAGTCAGCTGATTGGTCCACAAAGACAAGTACTGTACACACCACGTGTAGCCTTAAGGCCGAGTCGACCTAGGGGAGACCGAGGACCGGTTTAAATACTCGTCGCCGATGTTGGCCGTGTGGAATATGCCTCTGGTTGCCGGGTTGTTAGCGAATTGCGGTAACCACTGTGCCACCGCTCTCTACAACACAGAGACAAAGATCCCCCGTATAGTCTTAACAGGCTGTTGGGGCAAGTGCTGTTAGTATCACCTATAAAAACCGGCACGGTATACGAGGAGGTGGGTGGCTAGCACCGCGCCCGACCGCCTTTGTCTCCCCAGTGGTGGTGTTTTTACACCACACAGGTGCTCATTTGAGGCTGAGTCGACCTAGGGGAGGCCCATGACCGGTGTTGTCAGGTACGGAAACCGTCCCATCACTCAAGATGGCGATTCCCGCCAATCCGCTCCTCGGTCTCGCGTTCCTTTGCCAAGATGGCGATTCCCGCCAATCCACTCGGTCTCGCGTTCCTTTGCCAAGATGGCGATTCCCGCCAATCCACTCCTCGGTCTCGCGTTCCTTTGCCAAAATGGCGATTCCCGCCAATACACTCCTCGGGCTCGCGTTCCTTTACCAAGATGGCGATTCCCGCCAATACACTCCTCGGTCTCGCGTTCCTTTGCCAAGATGGCGATTCCCGCCAATCCACTCGGTCTCGCGTTCCTTTACCAAGATGGCCTAACTAGTTCCCTTGGTGCTGCGGCCGGTTGAACTGCCCTATCCAAGATGCCCGTGCCTATTAATTATCAGGGGTCTTGTTTTCCCTTACGAATATGGCTATTCGTGCCTCGTTACTGGGGCTTTTTGGGTTCAGCGGGCTCCTTGCATTACCCTTACCAAAATGGCCGTTCCCGTCAAATCTTGTAAAAAGGCCGCCGGTATAGTTTTTGTGCAGTGAAACACAATCCTCGTGAATGAAGATATTGAGAGGCTACATGATATAGGGAGGTGGCACCACAACGGAGAACTGCAGAAATGAGACTCCCGACTCATGATGCTGAATGTGTGAACGTTAACAGCGCCACTGAGTGGACAGAGCCCCGCCCCTACGGCTCGTGGCTGTCGGCTGGGGCACTTAAACTGAGTAATGAGATATAATAGACACAAGGGGTCAAATGGTAGTTGGAGTTCAGTTAAGCCTGGAGAGGAGAGGCAGTGGCTGGGTAGTCAAATGTAGACGACGTTATTACACCAGTGCTGCGGGGATTATCACATTAAGTGAACCGATTTGAAGACTTTAAATTTTATTTTGCTTAGGGACAAGGATGGTGTCATTTGCAAGAGTGACTTGAGTCACCAAAATGACATGCAAGAGCATAAAGTACAACAATCATCTCAATGTAATACAACATCGTGAGACAATGAATGGAAAAGGACACACTCATAAATCAAAATAAACTGAAACAAAGTTAGCTTGAGATAAATTAATTTTAAAAACCATTAATCATTAACATTCGTTCAGTTACAGATACATCAACATTGATTGAGGGTCCTTGTTGCACAGGCAGGTGGAATCATGTGACCTCAGTCCACTGTTACATCACTGTGACGTCACCATTACATCATCACGAACACATGGGACACCACGTGACTCCAGTGCACTGTTACATCACTGTGATGTCACATCCCCCACACAAACTCAGTTGCTAATCTGGCACCCTGAGGGTCAGACGTGTTCTGTCCTTGCTATATGGGTTTTCTGTTTGCAAGTTTTTCAACAAATCAAAGTCAGTCATCATCCTCTTGAGAAGGACACATTTTTGGACGCTTTTTTATCCTTTACAACCACATCGCCACAATGTCGAAGGCCAGGAAAAAGGGCTTCATTAAGCATCTCAAGAACATCTTCTGTTGCTTACGCAGTGTTTCAGATGATGAGGTTTATGAGCCAGGCCGCTGTGTTCCGAGCTCTGTGAAAAGTCATGAGACGAGCCCAGTGGCAAGCCATGAGGAGACCGAGGTGGCAAGTCTTGAGGCAAAATCGGAGGCTAACCATGAGATGGGCCCAGAGGCAAGCCGCGATGTGGATGCAGTGGATAACCGTGAGATGAGCCTGGTGGCTAGCCAAGAATGGACAGAGATGGCAAGTCTTGAGGCGAGCACGGTAGAAATCTGTAAGATTAGCTCGGTGGCTAACCATGAGATGGGCCCGGAGGCAAGCCGCGAGTTGGACCGAGTGGATAACCGTGAGATGAGCCAGGTGACTAGCCATGAGAAGACCAAGGTGGCAACTCATGAGGCAAGCCAGGTAGATAATCATGAGATGGGCCCAGAGGCAAGCTGCAAGGTGGACCCAGTATGGAACTGTGAGATGAGCTTCGTGGCTAGCCGTGAGATGAGCCTTGTCACAAGCTGTGCGGCGAGCCTGGTGGCTATCCCTGAGGCTAGCAGTGAGCCGAGTCCCATGGCTAGCTGTGAGAGGAGCGCAGTACATAGCAATGAGACGAGCCCGGTGCCTAGCCAAGAGGCAAGTCAGATGGGTAGCCATGGGCCCAACCCAATAGCGGACAGCGGTTCAAACCGGGAGGCAGACCATGGGCCAAGCACAGTGGTAGATCGGGAGCCGAGCCCAGCTGAAGGGGATAAAGCGAGCCCAGTGGCAAGCCACCAAGATGTTCGTGCTGCCAGCAACAAGGCTGCCGAATGCAAGGGTTGCCAAACTACAAGCGACCGGGACAGTCCAGGATGCGGGAGTGGTCAGGCTGCTGGTCACAGGGAAGGCCAGGCAGAAAATCGCGGGTTCGGCCAGGCAGCCGGTCAAGTGAGCAGACGAAGACGCTGGGGTGGCCAAGCTGCCAGACGGAGGGGCGGCCAGCATTCCACTCTTGGGGGCACGCAGGATCTTAGACAGAAGGGTGCCTTTCCATCCACAGCGCCTGCCATCGTCAGGCCTACCTCCCAGAAGCTAGCTGCCCGTCCTGTGCCAGATGAGATTGCTGTGGAAGGTAAGCTTGTACCAAAGTGACTCTGTGACCACTAGCTTGACTTTTGAATTCACTCTCATGGTCTATTTTTCCAAGTTCTTTTAACATTACTTTATCCCAAAAAAGGTGTTAACTCTTAGATATTATAACTTCACTGCTGGGTAATTGTCATTTCGGCCTTTTGGCACTGTATTCAGAAACCGTGAACAAAAACACGTCATTGTAGTGAAACAGCAATCTCATAGGCTTACTCTGTAGTAGGGATGAGTTTCAGATAAAAGTTTGTCAGATTTTTGCACAATGTACGTTGTTATATACTTATGTTTCATCGGGTTGGGTAGGCAAAAGTGACACGAAGGCATGAGGATCCATTTATGGATGAAAATCAACTTGAATTATGGGATACAACGCCGCCCTTCCATAATCCTTAATTTAGTGGCAACATATGAAAAATGAAAATATCGGACAAGGGCCAGGTTCTTGCCCTATCTGTTGAATATTATTACCTTGACCACGTTTACAGAAAATGAAGTCAAAAAACAGCTCACTGCAGATTGAAAAATACATGGTTGTGAAAGGTTGTGAAACGGTTAATTAAAAGCACCGCTAAAACAATGATATCACTAATTATGGCTTTATCACACAACTTTCGAGTCAGTCTCCGGAGTGCCTCGAGTGTTAACAGAAAAGTCCGTATGTGCTTTGTGCGCAGATAAGAACCATAATGGAGCTCCACGACTTGCGTCGGAATTGGGGGAAAACTTGAGCCTCACGTGGCAGTGGAAGGTATGCGAGGGTGCTGGCCTTGACAACATGGGGAACTGGGGAACACCTGTTTCCTTAATGCCACCCTGCAGTGCCTCACTTACACCGCACCACTGGCAAACTACCTGATTTCCAGACACCACTCAGGAAGATGTGAGTTCCCAAAACACTTTGAAATACCAAAGAGCTGAAAATAATTGTGTTTTGTGAAGATTTCCTGGCTGTGTGCTGCACCTACATCTGAGCTGTGTGATTGGCGTTGTACTGACAGCATGTGCCACCTCTGCCTCACTTCACAGGTACAGAGAATGGATGTTGTATGATGTGCATACTGGAGAGGCACACCATTGCAACATTCAGTTCCAAGGGCAAGGCCATCAAGCCCTTGGAAATCGTCCAAAACCTCAAACGTGAGTTCCGTCCTATACAACACAATTGTGCACATTCAATTGAGAACCTATTCATTGGGTGGCAGAGTGGGGCATTAGTAAAACTTTTTCCTCGTAACCTTGTGTCCAACCCGCTTATGACCTCCATCCATTTACCCACAGGGATCGCCAAACACCTGCAGTTTGGCAAACAGGAGGACGTGCACGAGTTTGTCTGCTGCATCGTAGAAGCTCTCCACCTCTCCTGCCCAATCAACCACCACAAGTAAGTAGTGCACGTCCTAGGCCACTGGTTCCCAACCTGTGTTATCAAAAATTGACAACAAAGTTTGCAGAATCATCTTTAAATAAGTGTTTGGCTGCGAGGTGACATAGTGGCTAAAACAAAAAGGAGTAACTCTCCCATGTGCACACTTGGTAAAGATGATTGCATCTGTAAGTTACCATATGTGTGATGTTGTTCATTTCCACGTGCAGGCCGGAAGAACATGTGGAGAAGACCTCGGTGGTTCACCAGATCTTCACAGGGCAGCTGAGATCAACAGGTGGGTGCCAGCTCCATGTGCAACATCATCGCTGCAAGTAGCGATTGCACCGAGTGTGACGACGCATGCTGCACAGTGCAGATCAACTCTGCACTCTCTTACGCACGTACACAGCAGGACATGAGAAAACACAAATACAGAGATCTCCCTCAAGCCTTAACAGAATGCTGGAGCAGTTACAATTAGCGAGTACCTATGTAGGCCAACAGGGCACATGACAAGGTGGTGTGGCTAGCACCATGCCCGGCCACCTTCGGGTGGCTAGCACCAGTGCTGAAGTAACACAATGCACCAGATACTCATTTGAGGCTGAATCGACCTGGGAGAAGCCAAGGTTCTGATGTTTAAAAATAATTTTGGCCACGAGCAAGGATCGAACTCAGTTCGCCGGGTTTGAAGTGCAGTGCGCTAACCACTAAATTTCCACTCCCCACACAATAGAAAAATGCACAAGCACACAGACACAACAACCCATTTGATAAGATACAAACACATGTATTAAAGCTTAACATCAACTTGCATGCATGCACGTAATTATTTGACAGCATTTAACTTGAAATTACCACGTGGCCCAGTGGGAGAGCCAGCAGCTCACAATTGGAAGGTTGTAAGCTTCAATCCAGATTGGGGGTTGGCTCGCCATATCATCAATCTGGGGTCACTAAATTGAGTACCACATTGTGGGGAAGTCAACAGTGGTTGTCCTATTAACAGACCCACCCTTGCCATATGAATGAGGAGTGAGGACATTCTACCACTGCCTCAGGTTTATAACGAGCAGATGAGCACCATCTCAATGCCCATTTGAGCAGAAAATTACTTAGAATGTGAGTCAATATCACATGTGGTTGTGTCTGAGTGGGTGATGCCTGGGGAATGATTGTGAGTTTGACTAGGGAACATGTAACTTCATTTTATTCGAGTCTTCTAATCAGAATGCTAACCTCCTCTAATTGCACGTGTGAATGTGTGCGCGTGGGTTTATTTGTGTTTCACAGTGGAGTGCACGCAGTGTTCCTGCACCTCGGACAGATTCGAAAACTGCCTGGACATCAGTCTTCACATCAACGTAAGAAACGAGGAGGTCTTGATTTACTTAAATGGTATCTTTACTCGTGACGAGTTTTGGATTTAAAAGTTGGGATTAATTATTTTCTCATTCTTAAGCAACACTTTTGATCTTTTTCAGATCATGTACATTACACTAATACTGTCACTCAAACACATTATGTTTACTGATCGTCTGGAATGCTGTACATTGGATGAATCTGAAAATTGAGAGCATGTCCTTAATTCCTGTCACCTAAGGACACTGTCCTCTTATGTCACACCACAGCCAGTACAACATAAGGACTCACTGTTCTAACGGCTACAAAGTTGTTTCCAGTGTTCAATCAAGCACTCATTTACCTTCACGTCGTTCTTTTTGACAGAATTTCCCAGATCTACTGGCTGCTTTTTCAGATTTCACCAAGGCAGAGACACTAGATGAATACACTTGCCAAAGGTGAGTATGGCACGACATCAATGTTACGCGAGTATGTCTACTTTTTAACGCCAACATATTTGTACAGTTTTGCACTGTGTGCTTACACGAGCATCTCGGTCCTTAAACTGACGCTGATGCTTTTTGGTGCGCAAGTGCAGTTGCAAGGTGAAGGCCACAAAAAGGATGAGCCTTCACCATCTCCCGAACGTCTTGGCCCTCTCCATCAAGCGATGTGACCTGTTTGGAAACAAGATCAATCGGGTAATGTTTGGTTAATATCGATGGTTTTTTTATTTCTTCAAAAATGTGGCTGCATTTGCTCCATTTTCTCATGGCTTGTTTTTGAGTTACTTCCTTTTTGAGTAATTTCTGTGATTTATTTCGCGTTATTTCTTTTGCCAAGGTAGTAACCCCGATCACTCGCGCAAATGTGACTTTTCACGGTCTCTCGAGCTCCCACCTGGTTAATCTACCTAAACTGGGTGTTATGGTAGCGAAATGTTAACTACCTCCCCTAGCATACAGGAGGTCGTAGGTTTGATCCTGATCCTAATGCCTGTATATTTGGAGTTTGCATGTTCTCCCTGTGGACATGTGGATTTTTCTCCGGGTCCTTCGGTTGCTGCTAGAGTATTTGGCTGCTATAACTATTCACGTGATAAGCCACTTCATTGAGTTATCATTTGTGGCTAGATCGCTCCTGAAAAAGAGCTATATAGCTCAGTCAGCATTATCTGGTAAAGTAAAAAAAAATAGCAGAACAAAAATGAGAATAAAAAACTAAACTCGAAACTGCATCATTCTTCTCCTCTTCCCCGCCTAACACCATCTCTGTTTCTGCATCACTGCTTCCTCCCTCACCACTGCAGGATTGCCCGTACCCACAGCACCTGGACATGCGGCCATTCATGTCGCAGCAGGAGGATGCAGACCCTGTAGCGTACAGGTTATACTCGGTCCTTGTGCACTCTGGGAAATGCAGCACAGAGGGACATTACTACTGTTACAACAAGGTGATGTACTGCATTTATTATCACACAAACACACGCCAATCATCCGTACGCGTAGAGCCTTTAAATAATTCTATGCAGTGAAAAAAAAAACGATTCCTGCTCCTGTGAGCCATGAGGTGGTGCTAATCTCCCATTTATAGGCCTGAGCCAGTGGTGAAAATTCCCCTTTCCTGTGACCGAGGGAGAGCGTATGCATAGAACAACGACTGATCACTTCACCAAAAATGTCTAGTTACTTTATTGACCCTGGATAGATGATGGACCAAGTGAAGTCCCAACCAGGATTTTAATTTTCAAATGTAATAAATTATTTTATGGATTATCGGTTCGATTACTCAACTTATGGGACAACACAATAATAGGTGGAATAAGAGGGTCACCTCTGTTCCTGATGTTCCATTTTACAAATATATGGGGAGTTCAGGTGCAATTGGATAATCGTCATAATTCATCTTCGATGTTGTTTGCATACAGATCTGCGATGGGAGATGGTTCCGGATGGACGACGACTTGGTGAGGCCGGTTGACACCAGGGTGGTCATCGAGAAACAGGCATACATCCTCTTCTACATCAGGTGAGTTACCTACGAGTTGTATTTGTGGGTATGCCCACAACAAGTGTGGTCAATGTGGAAGAGTAGACCAAATACCATCCAGAGTTTGTCTCCTCGGGGATTTTCTGCCAGCAGTGGCATGAGCAAGAAATGTCAGAGCCACGCCATTATCATTTAAATTTTTACATAAGTTGGGCATGTTGCCTTCCACCTTTGCTTTTAAGGCTCGATCTCTGTTAAACTCACGGGAAGTTCACCAGGTTGCCCTTTGGGCCAATGAAACTCACGTAGCGGTCGTTCCATGTGCTATGTGCAGGTGCCCAGAGATGAAGACCATACCCGTGTGCAGTCAAATCAACGACGGCAATGGGAAATGGCATCAAAAGAGGTGGCAGCGACGACCCCTGACCCCGGCGATCAACCGTCATCACTGATGGATGATATCACAAGGCCATGTGTGATGCCGTAGCCACGAAGCCGCTCTGCGGGCGCCCCACCTACGACTCCACCACCGCCAAGCGACGGCGACGACACGGCTTCCTCCTCACCAACCCCTCGCACAAACACACACACACCGACCCCCATGTAGAGCCTCGCGGGGAAGCCACCTGGTCCACAGGTTTTCACCCAGGAGCCCCCTCGTAGGGGGAACATTGACTAGGGAATTGACTAAGGCTTTCCCCGGGCTGAATTACCCTGTGGCGCCGTGAATTAACGTGGAAATGCACGATCACGACGAGGCGACGCAGCCACCGCGGATAGAAACGTACCCCGCACACGCGGATCGGTGGGCAGGTAGTGAGGGGGGGCGGAGCCACGAACGGCGGGGAAAACGGGGTCGTTCCTCTAATTGGTCGGGCACTTAGCGGCAAACTCAGATGCGGACGTCGCTGAAATCAACGGTCCAAGTGGGGCTCGGGTACAGGTGAGCGCTCTGATTGGCGGGCGGATCGGGCTCTTTGATGTAGGTAAGGATAAAAAGACGATAGAAAGGGGCAGGGAGGGTCTTGCTTCTCGAGTTAGCCATCGGGGCGGTCGTCTCTTCAGTCCAGCTAATGGAACGTCCGTGTGACGAGTCGAAGTGCTGTGAGGACGGGCACACTGGAGCGTTGAACTGTGAGTAAGAGAGAGAGAGTTGAGATTTAGCCTAAAAGCCAAAGCAGCTTAAAGTCCTAACAAACTAGGTAAATCGGGAGATAGTTTAATCCTGCCTTGCCGATTCCGACTGATTCGGTGAGAGTGGCTCGCAGTCGCGCCGATAATAAATAGTTAGTCACTGATCACAGCCTCGTGTGAATTCTGCGAGCGTGTGGCAAGCGCGTGGTGCTGTGTGTGTGTGCGCTCGTAACGTGGGTGGTCGGTGCTTCCGCGGGTGCACGCTCCGTTCTGTGGCTGTGGATACCCATGCTGCGTGAGGGCTCACACCCACCGCGAACACCTGTCCCACGGCCCTTTAAACAATCTCTATTACACACCCCCGGCGGCAAAGCGTGCGCGAATGACGTCGTTTGCCCTCCGACCCCTGACCCCACCGTTCAGCGCGTGTGATTGGTGCGCGGGGTTGTGTGAGTGGAGGGGTCGCGTTTGATTGGTTGGGAAGCAACAGAGTGTTTCCAGGCGGCCGTGCGCCAGCCCCGAGTTATGCCTGACAGGCAGGATCCGCGGACTCGCGGGGGTGCGGCTCAGGGACTACAGCCTCGAGCGGCAGCCCTTCTTCTACCAGTGATGACCGACGCAGCAGCAGCTCTCACGCGAGTGAGCAGTCCGGGGACGGCGGGCCCCCTCTGGCCGGCCCCTCGTCGGGAGGGGACCCGGGGGCCAGCGGCCCTAACACATGGTCAAGCTAATCATCGGCACGCGCCGCTGCCACCACTGCAAGGGCGATGCACACCGGGTCCTGATTAATACCGCTGACACAACACGGTCCAGCAATGCCAGCACCACACCCACATCCACAAAGAAGATTATTACCATTGTAAATGTGTACATTTTATAGTTTTGTGAATATAAGAATACGTACTTTAAAAAAAAGTTTGAATCAATTTCTTATTCTTGGGTATGATTCTGTATCTAGTTCGTAAGGCCATGTCCAGATCTAATAGCCAAGGGACATCCAAACAGCAACGTGAACCTATGAAATGACTACTGCATTATTTTTGTTTTAAAAAGTAGTTAATTTTGATGGCTGTTTTGCCATGCAGTTCAGAAGTTCATACCCACTTAATCCACGAGATGGCATAATTTTTAGTGGTTGCAATACGGGGGGAAAAACTGAATTATTTGAGAATCATGTGAAATGAGTGGTGTTGTATGTATGTTGCATTTTTTTAGCATCGTATGTAGCCTAGTGTGCTAATCGGAGGTGCGGGTTATCAAGTAACACACTCAGGCGTATTTATCCGAAGGTGCGACTAAACATGCTACCTTACGTTGTACCAATTACTGCTCTGGCCCATGGACTAAATAGCTCGATTACAACCACTACATTTGAATGCATTAATTCTGCACTTAAATATACAATGTCCAACAGTGTGTGGCTACAATACCACAAAAGCTCCATGATAGAGTCTATGAAGCCTACAATCTCAATTTAATTGCCAGCTATGGGGAGCATCACTGGCTAGTGATATCTGAACTGATCCTGCTACCACCCTACACTCACCAGCGTGATGAAGTATGGCTCAACCCCTAGGAAATGTGTTTTTCGCCACACACTACACAATACATCACGCCATCAAATGGACTTATTATACACACTATATGCTACACCACATAAACCACACACAGTACACAATATACATTGTACAAAACACTATTCAAACTATACTTGACACTTCACACTACACTATATATGACACAGACTGTACTATCCACGTTATTGCACACTATACACCACACTTACAGACACTACACTATAAACCACAAACTAAAGACACTACACTATACACAACACTACACTGTATACTACACTGCATGACACCCTCCACACACAATACTCACTTTACACCATGCTCCACTACAGGGGTCCTCAAACTACGGCCCGCGGGCCACATGCGGCCCGCCGAGGACATTTATCCGGCCCGCCGGGTGTTTTTTCCGCCGCTGCCTGTCTGTTACTTTTTTTCTACATGAGAAGGACGGTCATTGGTGGAAGAGGGAGAGGGGGCGGAGTTCCCCCAATCAGACTGCATTGATGGGCAGTGCAGTCTGTATGTCTCTGTGTGGGCAAAGTTATTGCTGGTATATTGTTTTTGTAGCACTATATATATTGGTATTTTACTAATAGCAATTTTGACTCCCTAGGAAACAATGATGTCAAGAAAGAGAAAAATTGACTCGGAGTGTAGGATATTCAAATAACAGTGGACTTATGATTACTTTTTCATGCAGTACAAGGAAAGAGCTGTGTGTCTGATATGCCAGAATATAGTGTCTGTGTTCAAAGAATACAATTTACGTCGACACTATGAAACTCAACATAAAGATAAATATGATTGTTTGGTCGGAGAAGTGAGAAAAGATAAAATATGAAAACTGAAAAATACATTAACAACTCAGTAAAATACTTTTGTGAAGCAGAAGCAGATAAATATTTCATCACTGCGAGCAAGTTTTCAAGTTGCCAAGCTAATAGCGTGCACTGGCAGACCATTCGTGGAGGGAGAATTTATTAAAGAATGCCTTTTTTCTGTTGCCAAAGAGATGTGTCCAGAGACGGCCGATTTATTTAGTACAGTGAGTCTTTCAGGACCTACAATTACACGGAGGATTGAAGAAATGGGAGACAATTTGCATCAGCATTTGCAAAACTCCACAAAAAAACTTTCCTATTTTTCCTCGGCACTCGACGAAAGCAATAATGTTCGTGATTCTGCACAACTTCTAATTTTTATTCGTGGGACGAATGACTATTTCGAAGTCACAGAAGAGCTTGCTGCACTGCAAAGCATCAAAGGAACATCTACAGGAGAGGATATCTTTCGATTTAAAGCTTTCGTGACTGCAGGGATTCATCTTCTTGGTTTTTTCGGTAAAGTCACATAGAAGGGAAATAACAAAATAATAAAACATAATAAAATAATTCTCACGACGTTTCGGCCACAACACAAGCAGCCGTCCTCAGGTGAAAACCAGGTCTGTCGGGGAGACAGCGTCTGAATGAAACAGCACACGAGCTTGGAGCATATATAAGCTGGGTTGGAAACGGGGGAAAGAGCGCCTTGACAAAATAATTTGCATATCAAGAGGAATTTAGCATATTTATGGGAAATGCAGGAATGTGATTAGTACTACATATGCCCGTGCTGCATATGTATATGCTCCAAGCTCGTGTGCTGTTTCATTCAGACGCTGTCTCCCCGACAGACCTGGTTTTCACCAGAGGACGGCTGCTTGCGTTGTGGCCGAAACGTCGTGAAAATTATTTTATTATGTTTTATTTTTATTATTTTATTACTTCCCTTCTACGTGACTTTACCGAAAGAACCAAGAAGAGAGGATATCTATGAAAAAGTTTGCCAAACTGTGAATAGTTTGGAGCTGAACTGGGCTAAACTAGCCAGTGTGACAACTGATGGTGCTCCTAGCATGGTGGGGTCTAAGAAAGGAGTAATTGCTCGCATTAACCAAGAGATGGACAAACATAACCATTCTCATCCAATAGCCATACATTGCCTCATCCACCAACAAGCGCTGTGTAGTAAATCACTGAAGTGGGACTCTGTTATGAAAATTGTGGTATCTTGTGTTAACTTCATTAGAGCTCATGCACTAAACCACAGACAATTTCAGGAATTTCTGTCTGAGCTAAATGTTGACTATGAAGATGTTTTGTATCACACAGAAGTCCGTTGGCTGAGTCGAGGGAGAGTTTTGAAACGTTTCTATGACTTACTTCCACAGATTACAGCTTTTCTGCTTTAAAAAAACAAAGAAGTACCAGAGCTCAATGATGCAGAATAAAAATGGCACATTGCCTTTCTGACAGATGTAACAGAGCTACTCAACAGTTTCAATGTGCAACTTCAAGGAAAGGGGAAGCTCATCTGTGATATGCAATCACATGTCAAAGCATTTGAAGTAAAATTAGGCCTCCTCATCAAACAAGTGAAGGAGGAAAACTTCTGCCATCTCCCCACAACTCAAAATCTGTTAGCGGAAAAACCATTGGTTGCATTCCCAAACAAAACATGTGTGGATTCACTGGAAAAATTGCAAAAGGAGTTCCAATTTGGATTTAAAGAGCTTCATCTCCATGAACAGGACATACAGCTTTTCCGTAATCCATTTTCTATTGACATTGAAAATGTGGATACAATTTACCAAATGGAACTGGCTGAACTGCAGAATTGTGACTCTCTGAAAGACGCATTCATGTCAAGCAGCCTTCATAATTTCAATGCATCTCTCCCCTCTGAGACATATCCTCATCTCAGGAACCATGCACTCAAAATGGCAACCATCTTTGGCAGCACTTATGTCTGTGAACAGACTTTTTCCAGAATTAAACATTTGAAATCTCCAACCAGATCTAGACTAACGGATGCACACTTGCATCACTTGTTACGACTAGCAGTGACAAATATGGAACCGGACATTGACCATCTCATTAGCCACAAGCAGGCCCATAGTTCCCATTGAAATACTGGCAAGTTTGTTGATTTAACTTTACTTGTTCTTTATTTTAAATATTGTATTTGTACCCGTTTTGTTTCTTCACTTCAAAATAAGATATATGCAGTGTGCATAGGAATTTGTTAATAGTTTTTTTTTAAACTATAGTCCGGCCCTCCAACGGTCTGAGGGACAGTGAACTGGCCCCCTGTTTAAAAAGTTTGAGGACCCCTGCTCCACTACATTACACCCCAGACACACAATGTAAACCAAAACCGTAAACTCGTAAAGGACGACCCCTGTGGAGACGAAGCAGTGAATGAGTTCACGTGCAAGAGATGGACGGACGGTGGGAGCGATACACCCTGAGCGAGGGCGACTGGTGGAAGATGCCTTCATCCAGCAGTGGAGAGGCAATGGCAGGAGCCGACTGCAACGCGCGGCGGCACCCTCCATGTTGATCTCCCTCTCTCTTGAGTTCTGTGAATCTACAGAGGCACAGAAATCACAGAGATGGCTGCCTTTGGCCACATTCCCCGAAACCCATGAGACGCGCTGGAAGGGTAAGAAGCGCAAATCTGGTAACAAGACAAAGATCCCCCGTGCAGCCTGTAACAGACTGTTGGGGCAAGTGCTGTTAGAGCGAGTAAGCAGCACCTATGAAGGCCGGCAGGGCACACGAGGGGGTGGGTGGTCAACAACCATGCCCGGCCGCCTTGGTCTCCGCAG